AAATTATTTTACCAATTCCTTAAGAGAAAAATTTTTATTAAAAAAATATTGTAGAGTCCTATTTAATTTGACCCTAATTACAAAGTTGAACATTCTAGACTTGATTAAATTTTCAAGAAAACTATAGTCTGTAGTAGTTCTGACTTCTTTCTTTCTTTATTTTTGTGGGGCGAGGGTTAGGGTTCTAACTTCTAAACACTTCCTTGTCCATAATTTCAAAACCTCTTTTTTAAGTCAGCTTCCAAACTTAAGTATAAATTTTTTTGCACTATCTTTTCTTTGTTCACACCACCCTTATATCTTTTGATAATTTTTGTTTAAAAATACCCTTATATTTAACACCATCCTCAAATTTGTGCAAGTCCCTAATTCACACCACTTCTGAAAATAATATTTTGAAATACTATCTGACAATATTTCTGAAAATTTATTTTCTGAAGTGTTGTCAAATACTATTTTATAAATTTATTCCAAGTATATATAAATTATATTTGAAAACTAGTTTCCAGAAGGTTTACCATCCATGAAATAACATTTCAAAAACTTAATTCTTGAAGCTCTTAAAGGACATTTCCAGAAACAAATTTTTGAATGTTTATTTCAATAGCTTTCAGAATTAAATTTTAAATAATCTGCTATCCCTAAAATTTAACATTTTTATAAAGTAGGATAGTGTATATTATTTTTTTTCAAAGGATGGTGTATTTTGAAAAATGGGGTGTAAAAAGCTTGGGCCATAACTATTTATACTTAACAAATGCATGTACTGCTGAGTGTCCAAGCCCATTAACACTCCTGTGATAGCAATGTCATACGATTTGTCGTTTTATTTAATAATCAAAAGGCTTGGACAAATGCAGCATTCATAAAATCGTAATAATTAATTTTCTGCATCAATAATTCTACAGGGCAAGACATTTTTGTGAAATTTTTGTCTTCCCAGTTGGAAAAATATTGCATATGTTTGCTTACTTATTAATAACATCTTTAATAGCCCAACTTGTTTTTATAAAAGGAAAAAATATAAATACTTTGTTTATGAAGAACATCTTCATTATCACAATATTAGGAGAAAATATACACAATGTTAAGAAATTTGAATTTAATTCACTTCAAAAAAATTAGTTTATAGGAGGAGGATTATCCTAATTCTTATAATTAAGAAATTTTTATTTTTTAATTGACAAAACATTACATACTTTACTTAACAAAAACATCTTTAATAGTTCAAATTACTTTAGATAATAAAAAATTTATAAATACTTTGTTTATAAAAAATATCTTTATTATCACAATATTAGTAAAGAACATATACAGAATTAAAAAATTTGAACATAACTTACTTTAAAAAGTTAGCTCATAAAAAAATGATTATCTTAATTTTTATAAGTAAATATGTCAGCTGCCTGACCAAGTAATCAATATCTAATTAATAGAACGGGAAATAATGGTGACATTGTCTAATTGAAGAACAACTATACTGACCAAGTAATCAAACTAAGTTCACTTTCCCTCTGTGACGACAACAAATGGGCTTTGATCAGTAACTAGATTGTGTCTCTGTATTTTTAGAGATAGAAATAATATTAATGCTTGTGTTTAAAGCATTAAAATTCTTAGATGTATACTTATATTTAATTGGAAGAGAGATATAATTTTATTGGTATAATTACTGTAATAATTATATTTTTAATAACTTTATGTAAAATGTGATTTTTGTTAATCTAGCTTAATGTTAAATTATAATTATATATATTACCTTAATAATTTGAATTAAAATTTGTAAAAATTTAAAACTATGAGAATGTAATTAAATTTTCATATTCTGAGATGCATAAATAAATTATTAAATAAATTAAAATTAAAATATACAATTTATCCACATAATAAAAAGTTAAAATAAATAATTATTTGCCGGTGTAATTATTAGTGTAACTTATATCAACGTAATTTAATATTTTCTAATATAATATAATTTATAATTAATTAATATGAATGTATATTAATGTATAAATTATAAAAACAAATACGTTTCACACCAAGATATAAGTGTAAATGAAACTATCTTAATATTTAAATTAAACAAGTAAGAATGAAAAATAAAAATGTTATTAATATTTAAATTGTATAATCAAACATTTGAATTATAAGAATTGAATACTTAACTCTAAAATATTATATTGGTATCTCAATTATAGAACAAATAATTGCATTATAGGAATGAAAAAAATTATATATTATGAAATAAATATTTATATCACTATAATAAAATACTATATGAAATTATATTATTATTTATATTTTATAAGAAAATAAATATTATTTTAAAAATAGTAACAACTAAATTACTTCTTTCGTGTATATTAAAAATTAAATTCAATACTTTACCATATCATGCTATCATTTTTATATTTTTATTTTTTAAAATTATAATTTATTTCACTCAAAACACACACACACACACACACACACATATATATATATATATATATATATATATATATATATATATATATATATATTAACATCTGTATCGTGATAATTTTCATACGTAGATCTTAATTCTAAAGAATAAAAATAAATATTTTTCTGCCATATATGATATTTTAAAAAATTAATTCAATTGCATTAGATGTAAGTTAAATTATGAGTTATATTATTTAATAATTTTTATTAGGATATTTTATTATAAAATTAGTCATTAATTAGAAAATCTTATCATATAGATCATGTTTGTAAAATTTTATATCGATAAAAAATATTTAATATCTAATTCATGTACATCAAATAAAATAATATATAATTATAATTTAACAATTATATTTAGAAAAGTCACATTTATAATATTTTAACTCATACACATATTTTATTTATTGAAATATTTTTAACTTTATATTTTAACGTAAATAATTTGGATACTAAAAAACTTTTGCTTATAAATAATTTTTTAAAAAAATTTAAAATAAAATTATTTATTATATTTAATAATTTAAATCATATCAATATGACTCCATGCCACCAGTCATCTTGGTAGTTTACAATAGAGTTGCATCATTCTCGCAATAAAATTATACAATAAATATTTTTTTCGTTACACTAACTATCTTATCACCTCTTCACTTTCTACCTATCTCTAATTTGTTATAAATTTGTAGATATTATTTCTCTTTGTAACATTGTTGCTAAGGATACTTTTGGCTTTGAATACAGAACTCGTATTAGTTGTATAAAGTAGACTTTATATATATTATACAGTTCAAGGCTTGAAGCATCCAAAGATTTTATGGAAATGCATGCAGCAGCTGGAGTGTCCTTTTGATCAGAAAGGAACTCACTACCTGTCCCTACGTAGCTTGCTTGCTTCAAACTCATGATCTGACTCAACGTGGAGACAAAAGCAAGACCATAATAAAGAGGAGGTTCACAAAATTAGTTGGCAAGTTCTAGAGAAGTGACATATGTTACCAAATATAATGATCAATACCACATTTTCATTTCGTCTCATCCCAATCCTTCTTCTGTTCCAATCATTCTTGGTAAGTGAAGAAGTCAAGTAAATGGTAAGTTCCTAGAGATACAACAAAAAAAGGTAAAAAGGAAAGGGAGAAGATGGGTCTACTCAATCAAACTGACTCAAACGCATCCAATAAAATGTAAAATTTAAACTTCTAAGTTTTGAGTTTGAATTAAATTTAGTATTTTTTAAATAGATCTAATAAAATCCAACTCAGTTAAGCCTGCAAAACTTCACAATAAATTGTGCTTTAACCTGTGTTAAGCATATTTTTATAAATCTAAATTAGATTTAAAGTTTTTTCGACCTGGCCCATTACATGCTAACCTGAATGAGTTAAGTAGCCAGTTTTATCAACTCCATGCATACACTTATTAAATACAAAATTACCTTACGCTTGTCTTGGGCAAACCTTTAATATTTTCTGTTACTTTATACACCTTTGTGAAAGAATTTATGTGTGGAATAAGAGGTAGAGTGGTAAATTCACAGTATGGTGAGCCTAGGCCATCAGAGAACAATTGCCCCTTCAAGCACAGCCGTTGAAGTGTTATATTCACTCATATATCTCCCGCCTATTCTATAGTCAGTGGCCTTTGCTTTAAGATATGGGAAGTTCAAAAGGAAATCTCAAGTGTGAGAGAATTATAGAAATATAAATGTGAAGGTACCTAACAACCATTAGGTGAGCCATCACTTGAACCTCAAACTGAATTCCCTTCAAGGCTCTTTCTCTACATTACTACACATTCAATTCCATAGCATTGAGCTGAAGATACTCCTTTTTCTTACTGAAAGAAGGTTGGCAACTCTTGGTGCCAATTATCATTGTTGATAACATCAAAGGCACAATATTCAGGGAATGAGGCTTGTCATATCAGCTCTCTCTGTTATTGTGCTATTCTCTTATGCAGGTGATATAAAGTTACTCTCTTTGCACTTTTTCTTTCAATTTCACTTGCGTTTTTTTATGGGTTTCTCTTGCCTTATCATTTTCTCATGCATATTCAATTAATTTGTCGATGTTTTTTTTGTTTTAGCTGCGTATGATCCTTTGGATCCAAACGGAAACATAACGATCAAATGGGATGTTGTGTCTTGGACGCCAGATGGCTATGTAGTAAGTAGTACAAACCCCATTGTTATTTGTTATATTTTCTAAGCTACACAAAATCCCAACAAATAGCTACATGTAGTTGACAACTACGAAGCACCGATACTTGCATTTGTTTTAAATATCCATATCAAATACATGTATCGAATTCCAATTACATTACAGATACGTTTCTATTAAGTATCCAAACCTTTTTAAAAAGTTACAAAAATATAATATAGCCAGATATGAGATCTAGAAGCATGCATACGATAGGGAACCAAAAACAGTTGTCTTCTTGAAGAATAAAAAATGGAAGATGTCTTCTGTATTATCAAGAAGGGAATCAGATTGATACTCTTCCCGTTGATAGGCAATAAGCAACGATTTACGATTATAATGATTTATATTTTTATTTTGCTCTTAGCAATGTCCAAGGAGGATGTTCTTAACTTTAATTTGTAGTAATTATATTTTGTAATGTTTTATGGATTTCCATACATGTCTAGATATGGATCCGATACATACTGTATCCTATATATTTTAAGAATAGTTTTGTGGGCGCATCTGATACGTATCATATACTATACACACATATTGTATTGGTGCATCATAGGTTGGCAAGGATGCATTGAAAGATCAAATTAAAAGACTAAGATACATAGGTCACAGTATAGTCAGCTAGCATTAATTTATTGCACATCGAGTAAAATTAACCTTCAATGTAATGAAATCACCTGTTTCTGTCTATTGCATTTTTTACCAGGCAGTGGTAACAATGAGCAATTTCCAAATGTTTCGGCACATAATGAATCCTGGATGGACTTTGGGATGGACGTGGGCAAAGAAAGAAGTTATATGGTCCATGGTAGGGGCTCAAACCACCGAGCAAGGAGATTGCTCTAAGTTCAAAGGCAACGTGCCTCACTGCTGCAAGAAAATTCCCACGGTTGTAGACTTGCTACCTGGTGTGCCTTACAACCAGCAATTCTCAAACTGTTGCAAAGGTGGAGTGGTGGCAGCATGGGGCCAAGACCCTTCCTCAGCTGTCTCATCCTTCCAAATCAGTGTTGGCCTTGCTGGTACTTCAAACAAGACAGTTAAACTCCCTAAGAACTTCACTCTCTTGGCCCCAGGACCAGGCTACACTTGTGGCCCTGCCAAGATTGTTCCTTCTACTGTTTTCCTAACACCTGACAAGCGCCGCAAGACTCAAGCACTAAGTAAGTTCCTTAACGTTATAATGTTAATTTTCTCTCCAACTTCCACCGTTCAAAAGATTATGTTAGTTACTTTTGTTTTATGTCATGCAGTGACATGGAATGTTACTTGCACATACTCACAATTTCTGGCCAGAAAGAACCCAGGTTGCTGTGTATCTTTGTCATCCTTCTACAATGAGACCATTACCCCTTGCCCCTCTTGTGCCTGTGGCTGCCAGAACAAGAAGAATTGTGTCAAGTAGAGTCTAATATTTCAAAACAATTAATGACTTCTTCATATCTAACAACTAGACAACCAAAAGAGAATTGTCATCATTCTCTCACATGTTGGTATGATATGCAGGAGTGACTCTAAACGTCTCAGCATGGTGGGAATTCACACCCCAAAAAAAGACAATGAACCACTGCTACAGTGCACTCATCATATGTGCCCAATAAGGGTACACTGGCATGTGAAGCTCAACTACAAGGATTATTGGCGAGTCAAGATTGCTGTAACAAATTTCAATTACAGGATGAATTACTCACTCTGGACTCTTGCTGTTCAGCATCCAAATCTCAACAATGTCACCCAAGTGTTCAGCTTTGATTACAAGCCTTTGCTTCCCTATGAGTCCATAAGTAAGTTCCAGCAAATAAACCTTTTCTGAGTGTTTTATAAAGTCGCTAACTCTTATGAATGAGTGCTCAAGTGTATTCTCATTTTGTTTGCAGATGACACTGGTATGTTCTATGGCATGAAATACTTCAATGATCTCTTAATGGAAGCTGGACCAACTGGGAATGTTCAATCAGAAGTGCTTCTTCAGAAGGACATGAATACGTTCACATTCAAGCAAGGGTGGGCATTTCCTCGAAAGGTTTACTTCAATGGTGAAGAATGCATGCTTCCACCACCTGATACCTACCCATTCCTCCCTAATTCTGCCCCTGCAAACCTACTTAACTTCCCAGCATTCATTTTCTCACTGCTTGTCATGCTAGCTGGTTGGTGAATCAATAGATATGTGAGTTGGGATTGTTTTGTGAAATTTTGAAGCCAGGTTTTCCTACACACAGATACAGGTATGAAGATTCTTAAGGAATTATTTGAAAGGCCAAGCCAGACTATTGAATGTGTGTGTTGTGATTCATGAGCACTAAAAAGATCCTGAATACAACATCAATGATTTTGTCTGATTCATGTAAATGCTTGTATTGCAATTCTGTAACAAATACATGTTTTCTCTTTCATTCAGTTTCCCTTAGACAATAACATGATACAAAAAATACATATATATATTTTGATTCCAAGTACGAAGCTGAAAGTAAAAAGCCCATTATAATTTCAAATCCACATATGATTCATCAAGTCTATATTTTCATGTGATATGTTGCTGTATATATTTATTATAATTACAGTTACAATTAGAAGGATACATACATCATTGCATTACAACAGACACGAAAACAATAGCAAATTCTATCACCAATATGCTGAATCCTCTAACAAATGATAGGACACATGATCTAGTCTTGAGTTGCCACTGGCCATCCTCCCAATTGCTTCAATTACCAAATTGACATCACAAATATGAGCCAAAACTGGTCTGGCTGAAAATTTTCTATTACAAGGCTACGTGTACCACAGATTGGAACTTCATGTGTATGCATAAAATAGCAACGCTACCAAAGAAGCCATCACCAAAGCAAACAAGGAAACCTCTTGTCGCAAACCAGCATTAGGTAACCACGGGTAAGCATCAGGTGGTGGCATCACACAGTTGTCACCATTGAAGTAGATCCTTCGAGGAAAAGCCCAACCCTTATCAAAAGTAAAAGTTGCTGCATCCTTTCGGAAGAGTAGCTCTGATTGCACATTGCCATTAGGGCCAGCTTGGTTGAGGAAATCATTATAGAACTTAATTCCCCATAGCATTGCTGTATCATCTGTTACAAGCAACTTAACATTAGTGATTACCTCCCAAGTTTACAAAAGCAAGTAGTACTAGTTTTGATGTTTTAGATGAAAACTTACCCCAAAAAAAAAAAAATTAAGAAATTTTTAGATCCAGATACATGAAACAAGCAAGCAGTTAGAATCACACTTACTTATGGAACCATAAGGAGTCAATGACTTGTAGTTAAAACTGAAGAGTTGAGTCAGATTATCCAAGTTTGGGTGTTGAACAACCAAGTTCCACTCAGAATAATTCATCCTGTAATTAAAATTATTAATAGTAACCTTCACACGCCAGTACTCCTTGTAGTTAAGCTTAACGTGCCAGTGGATTCGGATTGGGCACATATGACTAGTGCATTGAACCAAAGGTGAAAAATTATTCTTCCCAGAGCCAGAAACAACCTGTGCCAAATGTGGCGTATCTGGACTGTAATCACAGAGAGAAAGGAAATATGAGTGTACTAGTTAATATCTAGAAGGAAATCTCAGCACACAGAGTGATGGAAACTTACTGTACACAGCCCCCTGACTGAGACGAGTTACTTTGGCAGCCACATGCACAAGTTGGGCAAGGCACAATAGTGTCGTTATAGAAAGATGAAAGTGAGACACAGCAAGAGGGAGTTTTCTGAGCAAGAAATTGTGAATATGTGCATGTCACATTCCACGTCACTGCAATAAATAAGAGTGGCGTTAAGGATATATATAGTAAATTCCTAGAATTTGCTGATAGTTACTTATAACAACTGTAAAATTCAAACAATTTTAAATTTAAGCAAAGAATTAGCAAAATGAGTACCATATTTTGTTATCAACAAAACCTACAACTAGTGGGTGACACTTCGTTGAAGGAAGAGTATAAGGTTGGTAGGAGGCAGAAGAAAAATAGATAACCATATTGACAACTATGAAAAAATGACATAAAAGTTCTTTAACTTACTCAGTGCTTGGGTCACTCTTCTTTTGTCGGGTTGAATGAATTGAGTAGGCCTCACAATTTTAGCTGGTCCACAAGTATAACCAGGTCCTGGTGCTTTCAAGGTGAAATTTTTGGGGAGTTTGACAGTTCTGTTTGTGGTTCCAGCTCTTCCAACGCTTACTTGAAATGATGCAACTGCAGTGGTTGGATCCTGCACCCATGAGCTGAGCACGCCACCTTTGCAGCAATTTGCAATTTGCTGATTGTAAGGTGTTCCAGGAAGCAAATCTACAATTGTTGGAGTTTTCATACAGCAATGTGGAACATTTCCCTTAAATTTTGAACAATCCCCTTGTTCAGTGGTCTGCCCTCCCATCATGGTCCATATTACCTCCTTTTTTGCCCATGTCCATCCCAGCGACCAGCCAGGTGCTGGGATATGGCGATATTGTTGGAAGTTGTTCATTGTAACAACAGCCTGTACATTCAAATGTTTCTTAATATCTAAATAATGGGGCAAAAATAAGCTAAAGTTACTCTATAGGGTTATAAGCCACTTATTTAAAAGTCACCAATTAATCAATTAATACTTAAACAGCAAATACAAATTTGAAACTATTGTAATTTGTAACACAGATCACAAGTGTGATAATAAATTCAAACCATGTCACATTTCTAATCATAATAATAATTTTTTTCAAAACTATCAGGTAGTTATAAAAGCCGAGTAAGCAACGATGTATGACATGGGATGCAGCTGACATGAACATGCAGATCATCACAACAGATGTGAGGAACCAATGGAAAGTAAAAGAGTTATAAATGCATTTCAACACCATGCAGAATGCACAACAGATGGTTTGCTTCTCATATTAATAGGCAATCTTGTAAAATAATATACTTACAACATATCCATCAGGAGTCCAGCTTATAACATCCCATTTGATTGTGATATTCCCATTTGGGTCAAGCGGATCATAAGCATCTGAAAGATAAACACCCAACGGAAAGTGGTAATTGATTAAAAGGAAAGGAACGAAAACAAAGTAAACGTTGAACCTTAAAACATTCCAATAATAAATAACAAATATAATGATGTGATACATATGGAAACAGCAAAAGAAATTATGAGAAACGCTCCATTGCTAGACTTACTTAAGTAGCCATGCAAAAAAAACGCTAACAAGCACACACACTGTTGAAGTTAATGGCTGCTGAAGTTATAGTTCTTTTTACATATTTAATTCTTAAGCATGGATGATTTATGATTCCATCCTTTAAATATACTAATAACCAAAATCGGTATAATTACATCCCATACTAATGATAAAGAACTGAAAGATATCCAAGATGTGAAATCTGCGAGAACCTTTATGCATAAATTATTCCACTTATAAATTTATTATCCAAAACTGATCACTATCAGTTACTCCCGACACATGCACGGTTTTTCTAATTGCAGGAGTTCTTAGGCACAAATCTAGTGTAAGCAATCATAAATTCAACGTAAAACATAGTCCAAAAGCCAAAGGGGAAAAAATTCATAGACTTACTTCTCACTTAACTAAAATTCAAATGCCAAATCAATTCTCGTTAAAAATTTCTCTGTTTCACATCTAAATCTTTAAAACAATTGGCATCAACGAGATTAACCACCAGGAGCTAAAAAATGATAAAAAGTTTCCACATTAGGAGAAAACCCACTTTCTTTATCAAATTCAAAGAACAAAGGCTGCATCTTTCACAAGCATTAATTTCCAAAACCAACAGGGCGTTAGGTCCACGCAGCACAAAATGAAGACCAACAGAAAATGAAAACAGTCATGCAGCTAAGGAAAACTGAACAACCCATCAAATAAAAACACAGAACCAATGAAAATTTCAAGACTTTAACAACAATAATAGAGTGAACCTGTTGAAGTGAAGCAAACACAAGAGAGTAGAAACAAGAACAAAATGCAAGGAGTTGATTTTGGCAGCAGAGAGAAGGCCATTTTCCTTGCTGCAAAATGTACGTGGGGGTCCAAGTGCTCTCAGTTCTTGCCTGAGCAGTTCAAGATCTGTGACAGAGAAGACTAGAAATAAAGGGAAAGAAGAGAGAGAAAGTAAGAGAGAGAGAGAGAGAGAGAGAGAGAGAGAGAGAGAGAGTGTGGAAAAAAATAAGCGGCAGAAACTGACTGTCTGGTTTGTCCCAGTTGGCTCATCAGTTTAAGAAAGGTATATAAGCAACGTGTTACCCTATAAAGTTTGCACGTACCTAAACTCGTTATTGACGGTGTTCTAATAAAAATTATGTAAAATAATGAAAACTTGCATTAATATATAAATTTTATATTAAAAATATACATTAAAAAAATAGGTAGAATAATTGATATAATAAAAAATGATGTTAAAAATTTACTATATAAATAATATAACTCTTAAACTTTATATTTTATATATTAGTATTTTAATTTAATATAGCCAGTTTAAATAAGGTTATTTTTGTGAGAGATACTCGCGATTCAAAAATATATATATTATAATACTCACGTTGATGTCTTAATTGATAGTTTTTTTTAATGGTTTTTATTCGTAACTTTTTTTACTGACAAATCTGGTTATATACGAATAGAAATAGGTATTGATTTTTACCGGTAAGATAACTGAAAAAGAAAAGGTAGTTGTAGATGTAGAATTTGGCCTGCAAAATTTTGTGATAAAAAGTGGCATACATATATATATATATATATATATGATTAGTTGTATGATTATAATTGATCCGTATCATGTTGATTTACATTAAATATAACAGGGTGCTCCCACTCGATATTATAAATATTTCATTTGGTATAACAAGAAATGTTATAATATAAAGTTGCAAAATATTTGTTTCAATCAAGTTAATTAAGCTATATTTTGTTAATTAATGTCTTCAAATCATTAGTTAAAACGTTAAAAATAAAATGTTTTATTAAAATCACGTTAAAACATATTAGCAATGTTTTTATAGAATATATATTTTTTAATTTTTTAATCAATTTCCATCTTAAGAATATGAGTTAGCATTTACCTTGAAAGATACACATCCCATTATTTCTCTAAGCTCAGATGATAAAAGCATGGTGCAATGAACTATAGTGTACCTTTTTTAAAATATCATAACATTATAATGCACATAACTTGCCATGCAGTTTATCACTTTTCTAACCTACTTGCAGTATTGCACAGTATAAAATAGTTTAGAAAACTTGGAGAACCTAATTTATTTTATGGACATAATGATAGTGTAAACAAAATTTCTTATACTGAGTGTTTAATAAAAACACTATTGCTTTCAAAAAAAATTCTATTATGTAAGAAAGAGTTAAACTTATAAGATGATGACATCTCAAAGTAGTTTTCATAAAGCCAACCACTTATAAATTAATGAGTTTTTTAGGGTTTAATCAATGCATATACTGTACATATGAATCCTCATCATTTTTAATATTAGAATATATGTTAATTTTATTTTTGTAAAATATATATTTTTTCCTTTAGAATAAAAAATGAATCAAACTTATAAAAAAAAAGGTTTAGTTGCACCTACCATATCAATGGTTTTTCCTCATCGTTTTTAATTGCATAGTAGAAGAAAAGTAAACAAATTGAGATTAATTATTAATATAAAAAGCTATTGATTAATCGATATCATAATCAAACCAACTAAGTCTGAAGAATTATGAAAGCGACCTGCGGCATTAGGTCAGCCCTTCTATGATTTCTATTTATTTACAAAGTTGACGAAATTGGCGTTTTATGAATTATGATGGTATATTAATACACGTGGCATTTCGTGATTGGTCCGAATTATGTGTACATAAACCTGAATCGCTTGTTGTGTCGGTGGTAATTGGTCTCCGAGACCCTCACTTCTCATAATGCAATGTGGAACCCTCGCTTTAGGGGATTGTACCTTACCGACAGCGTTAGACTTTCCTAATGTACAAGCACATCAAGCGCTGTTAAATAGTTACTCTTCTGAATATGATTCTTTCTTTTTCTTTTGTTCATATTTAAATAGAACATGTTTCTTAGAGATAAAAAAAATAATGAATAAATAATTCGTTAATGATCAATTATAAATACTTTTGTTATTGAAATGATATGCTTTAACTCTTTCATAATTTATTATTATTATTATTAGATTAAAGTTTTTTGAAAAATTGCATACAATATTGTTGTCATTTTCCAAAGTAGAAGACAGCAAACGCAACCAAACAGCTCCTTGCAAGCTCATTTGGCACACAACTCGGATATAAGATCCAATAGTGAGGAAATGTTGTGTCGTCAACTTGTCATTTTGTGTGACAGTGTAAGAATAAAAGAAACACTTATGCCAGCTATTGTGAGTGGGCATGTATGTAAAGTCTTGAACACTAACATGGTTTTCCATTTTTTATTATATGCAAAAGTTATCCTATGTTTTTAAAAGAAAATTAAGCCTTATGTTCATCTTACAAGAACCGATTTTTCAGATTTTTAAATTCATAAAAATAATGTTATAAGATATTTACACTAATGAATTGGTTTCACATTGCATGGATAGCCAAAAATTACAAGAAAAAAGAAGAAGCTATAGTAATGAAACACACTCAAATTCCAGGGAAACACAGGAAATTAGACGCATAAATAAAACATTCGCCTTAACAGTCAATAAACCCTTTTCTTATCCATTGAAGATTACAGAGAATTATTTTTGATTGAAATGGATAATTTGGACTTACAATTTGCATTAATTGATAATTGGACCGTACCTGACTTGGGCTAGCACTGGGAATCTGTTTCAACAATCATGACCCAACTTCATGATTTGAATCTAAAATGTTTTGATGACAAAAAATAAATATCTAAAATGGTTACCATGACCAAATTTTCAAAACAATGTCATGCACCCGCCACATTGGAAGAATGTTATGAGCCATATGAAAAAGAAAGAATCAATGAATTTTTAATTATAATAATAAAAAAGATATGAGCGAAACATTGAAGGAGGCTTCCTCCATTTTATTAAATACATGAATTTTTTTTATCTATACTATAAGAAATAAAATATTTATATTTACTTTTGATTTGGTAAAATATTATTAGAGTAATTCCAATACAACCCGTAGACATTCGAATATGATCATTAACACATGTAATGACCAGTATACGGAAAAGAGGGAGAGAGAGAGAGAGAAGAACTACATAGAGTAGAGGATCACTATGAATTTAAATTATTTCCCAAAATAGACTTCAAACACCCTTTTGAATTGCTAATGAAGTTATTAACTAATGATTACAAGTCATGGGCAAAATGACTATTGACTACATTCCAAGTACTAAACTAAAGAAAAATGAAAAGGCATTACTTTAAAGTTTATATAAATTTAATAATAAATAAATAAATAAATAATCATTGTTACTTCAAAATGTCATTCCTATGTTTGTAAACTCATTTCATGAAATACAGAGAATATATCATTTCTTGTTTAGAGTCAAATAATTTTCTTAACACGATTTGTTAAGTAAAACTAACAATACATTCTCAATCATATATTTTGTAATGCATTTTTTATTATTTATTAAATTTTATTAAAAAATATAAAATTACATAAATTTTTCTTTTTTTATTTTTTAATTAATATTTTATTTTATATTTTTAAAATTTTTAATAAATGTTAATGTTAAGAGTATGTACTGTACGATTCTTCAAATTTAAATAGCCACATTCTAATAATTTTTTTATAAATGCAAAATAAATAAATAATAAATAACGGACAACGGAAATGGGGAGAGGAGCGAGTATGAACAGTGTTATTCCATCCCATTGATTGGCGAGGAATAAAGAATAGAATAGAAAATGGTCAAAGTGATGGAAAAAAAAATAAAAAAATGAAGGAATTGAAAATGGAAGGCGTGCGTTGCGTGCTTTTCTCACAACTCCGCGTATGCGCAGCCTTTTCACCAAACTATCAACCGACCATTTCCCTTTATTTGCAAATTTTGTTTTCTTAGAATTACATTTTTCATAACAAGGAAGACAACCTGGGATGATGTCGTTCTGTTCTTCGCTTCTGTTCTGAGAGTTTTTGATTCTTCCAATGGCCCAGTCCTTCGGTCAGACCGAGATTAACTGGGACAAGTATTGTTTGTTCTTCTTTTCTTTGTTTATGTTTTTTTTTTTTTAATTTCTATTTTCTGAATGTTGCTATTGATTTATCATTTTTGTTCTTTTTTGGTGTATTTCGACATACCCGTCACTCGAAAAAAAATTGGTACACCATGGCCCCTAATTTATTTATTTTTTAATAATTTGATTGGGGTGGTAGAGTTATGGCTTCGGGTTTGTTTGTATCTATCACTATATGGTGAATCGAATGAAAACCATAAAAGGGTGAGCTAATTTCTCCAAAAGAAAAGGGAAACCAATAATAAAAAAGATTATGAAGTTCCCAATTTTATGGAAACTGCTGAAGAGTGAAAGACTGTTTATAATGCATACAAGCTGTCATTAGTGCTTAACTGCATATGGGAAACTCGTTATGTTGCATTCTTTACTTCTCGGCAATGTTCGTATAGTTGATTCACTCTATGAGATGGCAATGTTGAATGTGGAGTTCATGTATAAAAGATTCAAGATGATTGCATTCGACTGCTTGAATAAATGAATTGCTTCCATTTTCCTCTTAAGGACGTTTTGTAATGCCCTTTGTAAAGTTTTGCGTGTTTTATCTTCTAACTGTGGATGCTAGTTCTTCATGAAGATTGAGGCCATCTTGCCCTTGTGTTGATTTATTCATAATATATTTTACGAATTTGACTTTTTTCTCATGGTGTTATAATGTACTTTGCAAATAGTAGCTCTGTATCCTAATGAAGTTCACCCAATTCTGCAGGCTAGATAAAACTAAGTTCTATGTCGTAGGAGCTGGACTCTTTACAGGTGTTACAGTGGCACTTTACCCGGTTTCTGTTGTGAAAACTAGGCTGCAGGTTGCCACAAAAGATACGGTAGAGAGAAATGCTTTTTCTGTTGTAAAAGGAATACTTAGAACAGATGGCATTCTCGGTTTGTATAGAGGATTTGGTACAGTTATCACTGGTGCAATTCCTGCCAGAATCATATTCCTCACCACTCTAGAGACCACAAAGGTGGCTGCCTTCAGAATGCTTGAACCGTTTAGACTATCTGAAACTACCCAGGCTGCTATAGCAAATGGAGTTGCAGGCATGACATCATCGCTTTTTGCTCAATCTGTGTTCGTGCCAATTGATGTGGTATGATAATCTAATTCATGTAACCTTGAGCTCAACTGCATGAGTTTTTTATACCTGAACTTCAAAATTCATCATTTTGGACAACAAACAGCCATACTGCATACATATGGATATGATGGTACATTCAAATGCATCTGCTCCGCTGTTAAACAAATTCTTTAGCCAGCTCAACAATCTGTTTTTCATTTTTTCAAGTTTGGAAGTTGGAGTTTGATCACTGATGCTCTACACATGTTTGCTGCGATTCAGAAGAACTATTTACTGTTCTCATTTTTGTTTATGATTTTTAATAAAAGTAATATTTTTTTTTTATTTTAAATACTTTTTATTGTTTTTTTTTTAATCAAACTCACAATTGGGAGCTAATGCTTGTAGTTTTTTAATTAGGACTTAAAGTGTAGGACACATACTAAGAATGCTTAAATTCAGGAAAATTTTATTTGGAAGAAGGATGGAAAGTGAGATTTATAGTGACGTGTTTAGTCTGCATATGTATGGTGGTGTATCCTGTTGGATTATATTGTAAGATTATACAAATAGAAATTTTTTTAGTTTGTTTGTCCTGTAAATGTCTTGTCTCTGTCTTGGTGTTTCACTGATTCTTCTTTTAAAGCATGTTAATGTCAGATTTTTAGATAAATAAGGAATTTTTTTTTTATATTTGTTTTACCCTTTTTTTTTATAGTTGTGATGAGGAAGTTCTGTATCCTTTCACTTCGTTATCATTTATTTTCTTGATAAAATTTTCTTCTTCTACCTCTATATGGATAATTCTAATATCTAATTCACATCAAAATGATATTTAGGTTAGCCAAAAGTTGATGGTGCAAGGATACTCAGGTCATGCCCAATATAGAGGGGGTCTAGATGTTGCTCGTAAGGTTTTAAGGTCTGATGGCATTCGGGGATTGTATCGAGGGTTTGGTCTGTCTGTTATTACTTATTCACCTTCTAGTGCAGTATGGTGGGCAAGTTATGGTTCAAGTCAACGCTTCATTTGGAGGTAAGACAGAGTAATGCCTGTTTCTAACATCTTAATATTGAATCGTTGTATTACCTTTTCAGTTATATTTATATTGTATCGATTCTCAAAAGACAAGAAAAAAAATATTCCATTTGATTCCCCACAAACTAAAAGGCCTCTTTCTCTTTGTGAAGCTTTCAATAGAAGGGAAGAACTTTGTCTCCTTGAACCAATGATCTTATTTGGAAGTTAAAACTATGTTTAATACTTAAAATTAGGCCTTGCACTTGATTTTATTTTATTTTCAGAGTTAGACAACTTTAGTGTAACTTTCCATGATTGAGGCACTAAATTGGTGCTAACTTTCCATGATCTAAATGACAGTTTTGATTGTTTAGAGATTCATAAACTGAACTCGTATAATTCTTTCCTTTAAAGTTGGACTAGTACTGTTTTGCTACAATACTGTGATTAGTATGGGTGTGTTGATATATCTTCTTAATCCATTAACAAGGTAGACTCTATTAAAATACACAGTATCTTCTAGACAAATGTTATTTGTGACATATGCATGAGTTTCAAACGTAGCTTATAGGTGTTCCATCTAATTTAGAGTTATGGGTGTCCATTGTGCTCCAAGGACATGGCAAAACTGCAAAAAAGCACTGGACTGGCATAGTACATTGTTCAGATCTAATAAATATTCTTAAAGTTTAATGTTAACTTGGTCAGATTAATGTAATGGATTCAGTCTCTAAGAATTGAATTATACCAGTTGAAATGTATGATGCTGTGACTGCATCTGCATGCAGGCAGTGGATTGTATTAAGTCAGGAGAGCTAGAATTTCTTCTTGGCTGAGAGCCTGCCAAAAGGATAAGCTGATTTTGCAGTTTGCAGTAAGCTTGTAATTCAATTTTTTTTTTATAGTGGTGAGTTTTGTAAATGATAGGGTAATTAACTTTTAGTACATGTGCTTGCTGTTATGTTTATTTCTATGTTATCATGCAAAATTTCTATATTCAAGACAATTAGCACCTGGTTGCATGGACAGTTTCTTGGACCACAGTGCCAAACATGATCAAGGCACTCCTAGTCTGCAAAAGATTATGTTAGTTCAGGCTGCTGGAGGGATTATTGCTGGTGCAACTGCTTCCTGCATTACAACCCCATTGGACACTATCAAGACACGATTACAGGTTTGCATAATCTTGTGGACGATTTTTATTTATCTTATTTTAGTTCACAGTTCTCTGTAATGACTACAACCTCACAAAGTGAGGATTTTCTTTCTTTTGTATTGCTCTGTTCATGAATCTTCTCTGGACTCTTATCATGTTCTTGCTATGCTTCAAACTAAAGGTCTTAGATTATAAAGATAGAAATATTAGTAAACTTGTTGCTTAAGTATATTTACAGAGTTAGTTCATTGAACCATTATGCTGATGGTAGATTGCACCCTCATTATCTGAAAGCAGACTAAAAGGGGAAGAAAAGAATGAAAATAACATTTGGTGAACATTGTGTATTTTCATCTTGCTTGCATAATTATTAATACTTTTTTTTTTCTTGATTATTACCTATTTAATTTTTCTGACTGGATAGTGCTATGCTCCAGGTAATGGGACATGAAAATAGAATCTCCGTAAAACAAGTTGCTAAAGATTTAATCAATGAAGAAGGTTGGAAAGGCTTTTATAGAGGGTTCGGTCCAAGATTTTTTAGCATGTCAGCATGGGGCACTTCAATGATATTGACTTATGAGTATCTGAGTAAGGACTCTTCCTCTCTGGTTGCATTTCTTTGTGTATGTGCACTTGGGTTTATGTTTCTGATCTCTGTATGTTATGGTTTAGTATAAGGAAATATTGAAATAGCTGGACTTAAATTTGTGTATAATAATTGATTTAATTAGGTGTATGAATATCCTGACATCTAATGCCATCCTCCTAATTTTCAGCTGTGGCCATGTTAAGTAACTCTGGATTATATTTGAGTTATATGCTTTCAGTTTTACATTTATACAGCTTAAAATTATGTGGATACAAAAGCTGTCCAACATTTTTTTAATCTAATGTCATCCTCCTGAATAGAAAATGGAAAAGAACACAGTGGATCAAACTCCAAAGTTCCTAAAAAATTGCAGCAAATCTGTCCAACATTTTTTTTATATCAGCAATAGAAATTCCTTTGGGGCAACATAAACAAAATACAAAAGGCAGGCCAGTAAAACAGCTCTGTCTAAGAACAGATGTAAGGACAGAGAGAGACATGCTTAAAGATAAAGGCATTCCTGCTCGTCAAACATCATTTAAGAGTTTATGCCATAGTGCTCTATTAAAATCATATTTTCATTGGAAAGAAAATAGTCCACAATTTGTTTAGTGGTGTGATACAATCCATGTCCTCAAACTGTTTTGATTGTCCTTTTGAATGCATTTTTCTCCTTTTGATTTCCTTTTTTCAAGTTTATGCTATTTGCTTTGCATATTTATTTAATATTATAGACGTCTCTTTTTTTTTTTTCCTTCTGGGGCTTGTTAGTTTGGAATAAATATGCTAACTTTGAATCCTCATGAACATAATAGTACTTTTTCTCTGTGTATATATGATATATCTCTTAGCCTAAAAGCATTTCAATTTTTCCTTTTCTCAGAACGCGTGTGCTCAAAGGATGAATAGCTGAAATTTTTCTGAAAGCTTGTCTTTTACCAATCTATTAACCAACATTGGGATGATGTCGGATAATCACACAATTGCTTGACGTTTATCAGTCTTTGAATTGAGGGTTAGACTTAGTACAGCTATACAAACGGATTATTCTGGAAACACTTGCTGGATATAAAAACGGGAGATTCCCACCAGATAATAAATTGTATCATTCTTTTTTATAATTATATTGGATTTGGTGTATTCTTTTTTAGCATTGCTGCGGATAATGTATCATGGAAGGGAACGAAATAGATTGCAAAGAAATTAAGAATAAATTTGACGTTCTAAATCTAATTATTGCAGACATTTTTGTTTGCATATTGTTTTACATTTCTAAAATGAAAATAATTTATTATTACAAATATGCAATGAGGATGATTACCATAGTGTGAGATGCTATTTGATGACTTAATTTTCATATTAGTTCAACAAGTGAAGGAACTAGTGGTCAAAACAATAATAGTACATATGTAGTCTTTTTTAACTCATTGTGAATACAAAATTAGGGATTTCCATCAACACAAAGAAGAAATGGAAGAACCAATGATGAACACACTGGTGATAAAGGAAGCAGAAGAAAGAAATACCAAGACGGTGGATGTGCGAGAGCGCCCTTTAGTGAAAAAGTCCAGTCCTCCTTTCTGGACTTACAAATTAAGGACCAAGATTTAATGAAGGTGATGTAGATGCTGAATCCCAGTTGGCAAAAAATGAATGACAAAAATAAAAAAGGAATGGTCATAGATGGGATCAACAATGTGGCGTTTTCTAAAGCATGTGGTCAAGGACAAGGAAGTACATGAACAAAAGCGTGTTCTACTACGTGATTTATAAAAATATGATTTTCTATAAACCATACGCATTTAACCTGCAGTGGTGGAAAGCGTGTTCCATTCCGAGTGAAGATTGAAATATTAGAAATAATTTCACTAAATACTCACTATAACTAAATTTATTTGAAATTTCTTAGCTAAAGGATACGTAGGACAATGTGATATTACGTTTGCGTTGTCGTCATCTTGCTTGTGCATATAATTATTAAAGTGATGTAGTTTTATAACTTAAAAGTTATAATTAACAATGGTGCCCGTGAGAACAAACAAATTTAGCAGTGTTGCCAAATCATCAGGAGTCAAACTCTTCAATATGATATTATTCTCAATCATGTTCATCATCCCCGTTAATTCTTACCCCCTTACAGAAGATTTCGCAATTAATTGTGGCTCTTCATTTGAATCAAATTCTATAGTGGGTGACCGTATATGGAGCCGAGACATCGATTCACAACACTTTTCTCTCTTAGAACTGCAAGATCAAAACCACTCTTCAATAACCGCAGTTTCTGATCCTATAGTTAACCATATCCCATACGGCACCGCACGCCTTTCTCAATATGAATTCACTTACTCCTTTTCCGTCACCGTTGGCCCAAAGTTCCTTAGGCTTTATTTTCACGCAGCTTCATACCGTAGTTTCAACCGTTCCAAGTCCTTATTTTCCGTAAAAGCAGGTCCTTACGCCCTTCTAAAGGGTTTCAACGCTTCACGTGTTGCTGAAGAGTACGGTGATTCCAATAAGATTGTTCTCATGGAGTATTGCATAAACGTTGAACAAGGTCAAAGGCTAAACATTACCTTCACTCCGAACCTAACTAAAGATGCCTTTGCCTTTATCAACGGAATAGAAGTGTTATCTTCTTTCAAACACAATCTTCTTTGCGATAAGCAAAATTATTCAGGGTTCAAACTTGTTGCCATAGTCCGAGAAGCAGACACAAATCATGATTCATCAACAGGGTTAGATAGTTCATCAAGCAGTAATAAGAAAACATTATTACGTGATGTTTTGTATAGTGTAATTTCCACAATCATCTCGGTCACTCTTATTTTCTTATTATGTATTTGGGTTCGGCACATGGCTAGATTCACTAAGCGCAAGACCGAGATGGAGATGATTTCTGAAGATATAAGTAGTAAAAATAAATCAGTGTCTCCTTCAGGTATGTGTCGTCACTTTTCAATCATTGATATAAGAGCAGCCACAATAAACTTTGATGATATTTTCGTTGTTGGAGTTGGAGGTTTTGGAAAGGTGTATCAAGGGTACATTGATGATGGTACAAAACCCGTGGCCATAAAACGTTTCATTCCAAATAGTTTACAAGGAGTTGAAGAGTTTAGGACAGAAGTTGAGATGTTGTCTCAACTTAGCCACCCTCATTTGGTGTCTCTGATTGGTTTTTGCAATGATGAAGATGATATGATAATAGTGTATGATTTCATGGCCAATGGGACCCTCCGAGACCATCTATATGGCTCTACAAACGCTCCCCTTTCGTGGAACCAACGGCTTGAGATTTGTATTGGGGCAGGGCTTGGGTTGGAGTATCTCCATTATGGTGCTAATTACAGTGTTATCCACCGTGATGTGAAAAGCTCTAACATTTTGTTGGATGAGAAATGGGTGGCTAAGATTTCGGATTTTGGGCTGTGCAAAATAGGACCAGATGGGGTATCAAAGTTCCATGTTACTACTCAAGTTAAGGGTAGTCTCGGATACTTGGACCCTGAATATTCGAAGACTAAACGGTTGACCCATAAGTCTGATGTGTATTCTTTTGGTGTGGTGTTGCTTGAAGTGTTGTGTGGGAGACCCCCTTTGCTACGTAAAGTGGAGGGCATGCAGAGAAGTTTAGTGGAGTGGGCCCAAACATGCCACAGTGAAGGTGGACCTCAAGCTCTATACCAAATGGTTGATCCCTTCGTTAGAGGAACCATTCTTCCAGAGTGTTTGGATAAGTTTGTTGAAATGGCATTGAATTGTGTTGTTGATGATGGAAATGAACGGCCATCAATCAGTGAGGTAGTTAAGGGCCTTCAGCTTGCATTGCAGCTGCAAGAACATTCAAGGTTCAGTGGGGCCCGCAGACCAAAGAATACAAAGGTTAATTTAGGAGAAGAATGAGTCAATGTTTTTTTTTTCTCGAGTCAGCGGAGATGTATGCTCACATCATTGATAAATTGGACCATGTTTTCTTCAAGAGTGCTAGTGTCTTACGTTTAAGTGACAAGTTATGTTTTGTACCTTTTGCTTAATTTATCTCATTTTTTTTAAGAGAAGTACTTCTGTTTGTATTCACGAAAGATTAGTAAACGTTTACTGAATAGAATATTACAGTAAACATAAACCTATTAACCATCAAACACAAATCAAAACCTATACTTATTTACTTGATTGCGAACGATTATGTTAGGAGTTATGATCAATCAAAGAACTTTGTCTTACTTGATTTAAGGAATAATAAAAATATATTGAATGAATCATTATCTATCTAATAATAAATAATACTATAATTCAATTTTATAATTAGATAAGTTGATTTAATTTATATATATAGGTAAATTAGATAATTAACAGAGATAGATGGATTCGGTCTGAAGCAATAAGACCAGATATCAGATCAGAAAGACATAAATAGTTGATAATAGCCTTCAACAGTGCATTCTATAGGAATAGGAGGAAGAAAATCCACAAACGTATAAGATATAGTGCTCACACACGGAATTATTCTTACTATTATTACATTTACACACCCAACCAGCATCAATAAACACATCATAGAGCATTCTGCATGCCAAAATGGGAGTTCATTGATTGCTATACTCACATCTACGTTAAGCAGTAGGATCAGTGACACCACTAAGAATACATAGCCATGATAACGACAATGATCCTTCTTCTTCATTTCTGTGCCTACTTGTTTAATTTCTCTTCTTGCCCACCCGATTTCTTATCCTAAAAGACCAAGTGTTCATTAATTAAAGCCTCAACGGTACCGGTTTTATGGTTTAATAATTGAAATTTGAAGGAAACATTCACATGAAACGATGAAACTTCGAGTGGGAAAGTGGAAACTTCAAACCCACGAGGTTCCGATTAGGGGCGTCAAATCGCCAGACCCACCCCCATTTATGGACAAGTTCACGTCAGGTTCCATTAAATTCATTACCTCACTAGCACGTATTATGAGGACATTATACAATGATAAATTAATTGTGGTATATTTATAAATATCACTGAATTTTTGGCAGATACCTAACATATTTTAAAATTAAAATAAATGTATTCAATTTAAAAATAAAATGTATTAATATATATATATATATATATTTTAAAAAAATTTAAAAATAAGTATTTTTATTATTCATAATAAATATTTTATATAATAAATAAGATTAATTTAAAAATATCATTAATTTAAAATTAATATTAGATTTTTGTTATCTTTGTTAATATGGTAAGTCAAAATTTAAAATTAAATAATTTATTTAAAAAGAAATATATGTTTTTAATTTAACACAATATATCAAGATTTAAAATTTAGATAAAATTAAACATGAATAAAATGAAAAATAGTATTTGAAAAAATAAAACATAATAAAAAATTAAATACACAACAAAAAATGTGTCATAGTTAGAAAATATGGTTTCTAAAAAAATTTTCTTTTAATATGAGCTTGAATTGATATCTTACTATGAGCTTGAATTGATCTGTGATAGATGATCTCACACACCTAAAGCCTACAAACCCAAATGGAAGCACAATCTCCATCAGAAGAGCCTTAGCTATTGCTATATTCTATAGAGGTGTCTAAGGTTTCAAATTAATATTTGTCCTGAATTATCAAGTCTTTGCAAGACGATATTAGAATTAGAATAATATTAAACGATGATAAACGAGCGCACCCAGCAAAAAGTTTTCATAAAATTATTATATTATTATGAACTTATGAAAGCATAATTGACAGAATAATGTATAATTAGAAGTTGCTAAAACTAAAATACAAAGTGAACTACTATAAATATCTATATAACTTGAAGGTGCTACTTGAGACGGTTGATAAAGTATCGTTATCTCTCTCTTTTTCTAGGTTCATTAATTCATCACTGTTAATTTATTCGTCTTTTTAACATTATCTCTCTGATTTTTGGTTGCGTTTAAATTAATCAATATATAGACGGCGCTTATACTCATTTTATATTACTTGTATGACTTAATAAGCTTGCCAACAAGTTATTCAATGACTGAAAATTGACAACAACCTAATGTCTGAACTCATTTTATATTTCTTCTATGCTTTTTCTATGGTGGTGAGCAAGCTTGCGAAGTTGATCCTGGCTGAAAAACGTAAATCAACAGAAAGTGTTAGTAGTTATATATACTAACTTGAGTGTGTGTTTATGCTTTCAAAAACTAAAGATTGAAGTTAGTTGCTTTACCACACATGCATGAACATCATCACATCCACACAAAAGCTTCCCATTGAGAGTGTCCACAGCTTGAAACGATCCTCCTCCCTCACTCCTCTGCACAAAACCCTCATTATGAGAAATATTTTTTTTAACATCTATCTGAGGGTATAGAAGAAAAATTTTAAGTATAATTTTTTTAATGAAAATTAAAAAATATTACAAGATTCAATATAATAATAACGTTAAATGTTGTAATTTTTAATAAAAAAAACTTGTTATTTATTATTATTTTTATTCAGTTTTTGGAACTAGAGCATTTGTAAAAAAATTAAAATAAATTTTTAATTAAAATTTATGTTGAATTACATTAAAAATTATGAGAGAATTGTATTGATTATATATTTTGATATTTTTTTTAAAAAAAAATCAAGATTATAACAAAATCAGATACAGTAATAATATTAAATGTTATAATTTTTAATAAAAATATTATTTTTAAAATATCTTTTGTGTATGCTCTTGGACATACATTGAAAAATTGTTATAAGAATACAAGGATTATGAAGGGAAAATTGACACTTCAGCAACAAAATTTAGAAGAAAGAGACAAAAATTTCCTAAAACGAACCTTGTAATAATCAACAGCAACAAAATTAGCCCACCGGTTACCAGTAGCACCATAACAAGTGTGTAGCATGTCAATGAGTTCTCCTGAATTATCTTCACATGTGATTGGTTTAATTGGAGTTGTTCTAAAATAGTTTACCAATACCAAGGATTTGCTTTTGTCATTAAGAGGAGATGATTCAGCTCTGTTTGGACAACTTCCAGCTTTCCTACCACCATCCCCATCTGTAGAATTTAACAGAAGATGACCAAAAAAATTTGACAAAGGAGATAAGAACAAATATTTGTATTAACAATGGAAAAGATTTTTAATATATGATGTTTCCTTACATTGGTTTTCAACCATGAAATTCCACTGATAAGCAATGCCTTCACTTTGTTCCTTAGACCTTATAGAAGTGAAAACTAGTAATCTTTGGTTTTTGGCAATCATATCACTCACTAGAGGCCAATCTTGACCATTTCTTGGCATACTTGTCAATGGAAACCAATACTTCATTAGACCGGCTTCAGTGAAAACCTTTGTCAAACCATTCGGGGCATGAACATAATCTTCCAAGATAATTGTGACAATTTCTGTTGGATTTGTTGATAGAAAAGCTTCAATTTCCTTTAGTGTGTCTATAGCAGGTTCCTACAAGTTAGGATCACGGTGTAGAGACATTCATTAATGAATTTGCAAATAAATTGCTAATTTTTTTTTCTCCAGAACGAATTAAGAAAGAAAATAAAAGTAATTAGATAGATGACTTTAATTTCCTTACAAAAGCTGTGAAGTCATGGCATTGACCTTCAAATGAATGGCATAACCAAACATCTCCATCAAAATCATATGTATCAAGCATTAGTCCCCGAACTCCATTCTACAAATTAACCATTGTTGAAACAAAATAGTGATTTATGAATTGATTTTGAGAATCCGTGCAATAGAAAAGTAATGATAATGAAGCTTTATTTGGGAGTAGAAAGAACATACGTTTAGCTGTTGGGTTACAGTGTCTTCTTGGTTGGTGACAGTTATTCGGGGCACGCCTGTGTGAGATGGCTCCCCATCAATGGCATAAGCATTGTGCGTTGTCAAAAATGCATATTTGTTGAATGGTAGAGAATTATTCTATTCAGAAGAACGAAGCAACCAGTAAGTGATTAAGATGAAACACAGATTTTACTTGTTTTCTCAACTTGTATAAACGGGGGGAGAAATCATGCTTTTATCTATCTTTCAAAATTATATTGGTCCATCCATGTTACTATAATTGAACAAGACTATAGAGTTATTTTAATTTGTATTAAAATAGTTTGTTTCTCTTATCCTTTTTAAATCAAGCATTATTAATTAAAAAATAAATATCATTTTAAAAATAAAATATAAATATATTTAAATCTTAGGAGTTAATGTTTTCACGACATCAGAAAAAAAAATGCACTAAATCATATTACATAATAAATAAATTATAACTAAATATGTTTATAGATAGATGAAAGTTATATATAAAGGAATTTAATTCACAAGGACAAATATATGTATCATACGAATATAAAAATTTATATAAAACATAACTAAAGCTAAATTAATCTTTAAATCATTAAAATAAACATACATTGTATGAAAGTACAAATAAAATAATAATAGTAGCTTAAATTTACATAATAGAACTAAAATAATTACATATTGATACATTAATAATCATGGAAATAAAATATTTACATTCTATATGAATAAAAACTTTATATAACATATATTAATAAATAAGTTGTATAAAAAATTCATATTACAAATAATATCATATAAATTTAATGTTTGATATAAATTTAATATTACAAAAAATATTCAGATTATGTAAAAGAATGATGAAAGTGATCCAATCATCCAACCACATTGTTATTGTTGTCTTGTTGATTTATATAGCAATGCTAAACAGTCTCATGACTTATAGAGAAAGAAAAAGTCTTATGATTATATGTAGTTTCTCATTTAGGCATTTGTCAGTGCCAGTGTTTGTAAAAACTAGAAAAGAAAACAAGAGATAGAGACATCTTACTATAAGCTTGAATTGATCTGTGATAGATGATCTCACACACCTAGAGCCTAAAAACCCAAATGAACAGGAGAAACAGTAGAGCCCCGCGCCACAATCTCCATCAGAAGAGCAATCATCAAGAAGCTAATTAATCATTAATATTAGTTTGAAACCATTTAATTAAAGGTGAAAACAAGAAGACATAACAACATGATTTGACAAAGTAGTAGAGTGGGGATACAAACCCTGCAAGTTCCATTAGAACAAGCCGCAACAACATTGTAAAGCAGTGGAAGAATAATCATTAGCAAGCACTGAAGAGAACCCATGTGGACAATGATTAGAGAAAATTAAGGAAATGTCCAAAGAGAAAAAAAGCATGAAAGGTATCCTAATTTATTTAAATAATCAGTGATGCCCTTTTTTCTTTTTTGTTTTTTCTTTTGGTATTTTTTATCCTGGCGGAGAAAACAATGGAAATTTATAGGAGGTGACTTTGGTCATGGAATATTCCCATGCTTGAGCCAAATTAGGCCTTTGGTATTGCTACAGATGTGTCGAGGTTTTTAATTAAGAAAAATGTTAACCTAAGATTGGAGGGAAAATAATTAATAATGATAAAAATTTATTAAAAAATATTTATTATACTTTTATAACTTAATGTAATAAATGTGTACAATTTTTTTTTTTTATAATTTTATGTTTAAACTCAATTCAGAATAGTTGACAAAACTCTTTAATTAATATTAATCGAAAAAAAAAGTTTTATCTGCTTTCACTCAGTGTTATTGGAATTAATTATTATATTTATGAACATATGAAAGAAAAACTGAGACAGTAATGTATAATTAAAATTAACTATAATGAAAAATCGACTTTTATAAATATAAACAACATTATTCATATAATTGAAGGTGCCACTTGAGACCGTTGATAAAGTCCTTCACACAGCAATCTATATAAGACAAAAATATATATTATTTATATAACTAAGTTTGTCCATTTCGGTTGATTTATAAGGGAGAAAGAAAAGGGGAAAAAAATCCTTTCGTTTTAGCTATTATTAAAGTACTTAAATTTTATATGAAAATGAAAAATTAAGAAATAAGTTGAATCAATAGCCAATCATTTTTATTTGGAAATATTATATTAGAATCAATTTAATTTTAAATAAATCATTTAAATGTTTTTCCTAAACAATAAATTATACCACCTACGTCAAACAATAATAAGTAAATAATGAAGTAATGGATTTTATAACAATACAGTCCTCATAAAACATTTATTTATTTATTTTAGATTTTTTTTTATATAAGTAGTCCACTGAAGATTTATCTATTGAAAGCCCTCAGAATTTATTGTGTTTTTTTTTCATATTTTTAAAGAAGTTGATAGATGTGTGCTGACAAATTAGTTAATATGGCCCATTTTAATCCCATGGAGACTACAAATAGTTTGATATAGCTCTTTTAGATAGTTCCTTTTCTTAGAAATGATATTTGTTTTTAATGATTAAATACCTTGATTTCTTTTGAATAGTATAATTTATAGTTATATTAAATCTATGACAATTTGTAAAAAAATAAAAATGAAAATCCCATGACAGATACGATATGATTTGATATATTTTAAGTTTGTAACTCATCATAAAAGAATAGATATTTTTTTCACTTTCTTTCATATATTGTGTCTTAACACACATGATTGTTAACCTTTCATAATTATATTTTATCTTATTTATATTTAAGAAAGGAGGGAAATATCCTACTCTTCTAATTTGCATGTGTATATTCATTAGAGATTACTTAATTAATATTTGTAAGGACAAGACACTCATTATAGTCAAGAATCATGTACTCAAGAGATGATGTTCTTATTAGTGAATTTTGTTTATATTTATTATAAAATTTTGTTAACTTTAACTTTTAAAATTAAGATTAAATATTTAAAAGTAAAAAGCTTTTGTTAAAAAAGATTATATTCATTGTTATACACACATTTTTTTAATTAAATTTTACTATTAATAATTACGTAAACTCAATTTTAAAGACTGAAATTAATGTTTTTCTTTATTATATTAGTGAATAGAATCCATGCATCTAAATTTTTTAACAATTTAAAATCATAAAAGTTAAATTAGTTTAGTTTTTGAGATTAAATATTTGTTAGAAAATAAAAATTTTATTTATAAAGAAATTATAATTATTTTAACTGAATACATATAACAATTCATTCCAATTGTATTGATTTTAATATTGGATTTATTTACGTTTTAAATTAAATCAAGAAAATTTTGTTTTCAATGATTTCAAATACAATTATATTCTTTAATTGAAATTTACTCAAAACATTCCTCGACTGTTACTATGGTGAAAACTATATATTTCAGTATATCCATCTTTTCTTTTTCCCCTAACATTGATCAAACCACATGAATGCAATCCCTTAAACAAAATTTCATGTTTAAGAAACTTTATCTCCTCAAATAAATTTACCCAATTTAACATGAGCAGAATTTAAAATAATTTTCAATTACAAATAATTTCAAAGTAAAAGGAAAAACATCATAGTCTGCAATTAATTTCGTGGACAAAGTTAAATAATCTTGAAGTTATGGGAGAGAAGTAATCTTTCGAAACCGGATCGGTAATATATATCCTAAGAAAATTTGGATCAAATGGGAGTTACAAGTTTGGCAACACACTAAGTCCATACAAACAATCTTGCAAATGTTTCAATTGAATCCATAGAGGCACCGTGCAAGCACGAACAAACTGATATAATGCTTAAAAATTGAGGCTTTAAAACTTCACCTTCTGAAGCACAATGACCTATTGCTTGACTGCAAAATGAAGTACCCAAAATTGTCAGCAAAATTATCGTGTAAACAAAGTCATAACAAAATAACATCTTTTTTCATGTAATAATGAAAATGACGAATTAAAAGTTCAAAGAACATAATGTATAATATTTGAAGGAAAACAACCGACCCTTATTTATTTATTGGAAGATAATATAGAGAATCAATCAATACATAAAGAACAGAATAACATACACAATAAAACGCTGATTAAAAAGAATTTTGAGAAAGTAACTTGTAACTGGTATTTAGTTCAAAAATACAATAGATGGTACATGTTGGACTTTATGGTAATCCTCTCCAGCAGTTCCAAGCCTAGTCTTGAATGATTTGGGCATCCATCTGATTTCCAGTTCTTGGAGACTAGCAACAAATTTTAGTCCATCAGGAACAGTCTTTAATTTATTGCAATCAGATATGCTCAATCGATGAAGACTAGACATGGCTTGATTCTCTATTGTCCATTCCACTAAATTAGGCAACCCACGAAGTATTAGAACTTTTAGCTGAGGAAAGCCATTTTGTGAGCATACCATTTTCTCTCCAACAAACATTTCCCAACCACTAAGGAACTTCAAGTTAGGAAGCTTCCCTAGTGTTACCATAGGGTCTTCCACAAGTCTGCAACCCCATAAAGTTAACTTTGAAAGCTGAGGAGGAAATAGTGGGGCTTCTGGCAGCCTTTCCACCCTCCCTTCTACCTGCAGTTTATGGAGTGAAGGACAACCTCCTACCAATTTTTCAACATCTACCACATTATCTGGGAAGGAAAGCATGTCAGTTCTTAAGGACAATGATTGAAGGCAGTTCAATCTTTTATTAGGGTGACTTAAACTTTCACTGAATTTTTGAAAATGCCTCGGGTCATTCAGTACTAATTTTCGAAGCTTTTTCAACTTCAACAGATCTTTTACATCACATTTGCTGGCAGGAAAATTTACTAGTGTCTGTAAATTAGTCAGATTTTCCAATTTCAGGTTGTTAGCAACATTGCCACACCAATTGGGAAGATATAGATGTCTCAACTGCGTCAACTTCCATATTACGTTTGGAATTTCTACAGTTGAATCCCAGCTCACTTTATTGATAGTTTGCAAATTTAAGGACTGCAAATTTTCCAAATTGCCCAAGGAAGCTGGCAGTGTTTGTATGCGAGTTCTTTTTAGACTTAGAAACTTCAAAAATAAAAGATTTCCCACTTCTTTAGGCAGTGACTGTCCCTTTAGCCCCTTAATTCCCTCAAGATCTAGAATTCTAAGCAATATGAAGTTCTTAAAAATACCTTTGATTGGCTCCCAATTTTCCACTCTACATTTCTTGTCATGAAAAAACACAAGAGATCTAAGGTATTGATTCATTTGCTCGTTTCGTGGGATCAGTTGATGAACATGTTGATCCAAGAACACAGCAAGTCTGCGAACTTCACCACTTTGTCTTTCTGATGGATAAGATGAAGAAGCAACATCAATGGTATTATTTTGTTGTGATCCACCAATAATGTAGAGAAAATGTTCTTTTTTGGCCTTTGATAAACACAGATCACGCATTAAATCATGGAGCCGACAGGTTTTAATCCTACCAGTAGATCCCATCTGACCAACTTGAACCATGCAGCGGCTAATTAAGTTACCTAGGTAGCTTTCAGCAAGATCCTCCATTGTCTCATCCCTTTCAATCTCATATTGAGATGAAACAACACCTTCTGCTACCCATAACTGAATTAATTTGTTTTTTGGTATCTCTGAGTCCTCAGGGAACTGACTTAAATAGAGAAAACATGGTTTCAGTTCACCAGGCAAATCCTGGTAACTTAAATCCAACACCTCAGCTAATCTTCGCCTTTCATTTATCTCTCCTCCTATTAAGTATGAACTTATATATCTATGTATTGTTTCCCACTCTCCAACTGTGTCCTTTGTAGCCAAAAGCCCTCCAAGCACTATGATAGCTAAAGGCAGACCAGCACACTTGGCAACCATTTCTTTGCCTAATCTTTCAAAGTCATCGAATATTGAGAATTCTGCAAAAGTCATATGCTAATACTCACTTTAATAGAACAATGGTACGATAAACAAGCATAGAAGTTCTTCCTTATATAGATATATGCAAAAAAAGAAGACGCAAGAGGCTCATAACATTACCGGCATAAAACCATTCTTTAAGGGTCATATTCTCAAATTTGTTTCAATAAAAAGGACTTTCAAAACAAGACAAATGTTATTAAGGAGACAAAAAGCAAAATATTATTTCTTCTGGTTTCCATTTAGACTCTAACGCATCTTAGAAAATTAAAAAACAATGATAACATGTCTATTGCTGATACATAATAAACATTGAACAATCAAAGTTTTTGAATCATGCAAAATTCACTTGCTTGCAAGAATTAAGCCCTAACTAAAGTGAAATATAGAGATATATTAAAAAAACATGTAAGGAGTACAAAGTAGTCTAATTTACTCAGAAATTAAAAGTCATCATTTCTAACCACCTTCACAAGTCTCTGTTCTCTTATTTTTCTAATTTGATATCTAAAATTTTAATTTCAACAGGTTATACGAAGAACAGCAGTTACAACTCCATAAACATCAAGTCATAATATGATACAGCTATTTTTTGTTCATTAGAGAACAATATAATCTCAAGATAAAAAGAGAAAATTTCAAGCTCTTCACATTTTACTTTTTTAAATTATAGCTTAAAGCTTATGTTGTTGCATAAGAGTTACAAAATTTGGATCCTAAAAGAATGAAGAATACATTGAAAATAGAAATTCAACGTATCTAACATAGTTCAACTAAATTTCATTAACTACCTTATTCTTTGTTATATAGAGATCTAATACATTTCACCAAATAGTAGAGCACCTTATGTTTTCTCAAACAAATTTCCTTTTGATTTTTTATTTACTTCATATGCCATGAACAGAGCTTTGCTATTTCTTAAACACCGTATGAATCACTTATTAATAGTATAGCCAAGTAAACAAAAAAAAAAAAAAACCACAAATTAGACCATTCATTATGATTTTTAAAAAAGAAAAGTATTTTTTTAATTAAAAGATGCATTGAAGAAAGTAATATCAGTTAATAAGGTTTTAATAAAAAAATCTCCAAAAAAGTTCTCACTTTTCCCCGGTAATCACATAACGAAACAAATTAAACAACTTGGTTCATGAAATAGAGTTAACCAAAATAAATTTAAGTGCAGACGGTGAAATAAAGAAACAAATTTTCTAGGCACCTGGATCATATTTTCTTGGAAAAGCTTTCTTCTGAAACAGTACCCAACTGTCCTCTGCATTTAAACAACTTGGTTCATGAAGCAAGCCTTTGGAATCTACATGCAATGAAATTCCTTTATTGCGGGATGTAAAAACTATCTTACTCCTTGTATTTTCTAATGGAAAAGCAGGGCTTAGAATGTCCCAATCATCATTGCTCCATATATCATCCAAGATGATCAAACATTTTTTCTCTTGCTGAACTTTATACAACTTCTTTGCCAGTTCTTCATCTCTCATTTTCATAATCTCATCCCTCTCCTCCTTAGAAGGAGAAGTAAGCTTCAACAAAATTCCCTCCCAAACGTCTCTTTTCTTGCATTGCTGAGATATATAGGCCCAAGCAAAACCTTCAAAGTGGCGCCTAATTGCATTGTAATGATAAATGCTTTTGGCAAGTGTAGTTTTTCCAAGACCACCCATTCCACAAATATAAACCACTCGGCATTGCTGATCTTGATTTAATAGCCATCCCACCACTTTGCCTATGTCCTCATCTAAGCCAACGATGAACTCTTCAACTATATGAGAATAAGACCATCTCAATTGTCTTTGCATCTCAAAAGCAAAGCGCGAATTTCCATTGTCTCTTGTTGCAGTCAAACCATAAGTTTGTAAGCTTCTTGTGAGATCAGTTATTCGAGAATTTATGGATATAATCTCAGATCCAACTTTGTGAAGATTTTTACTTCTGTAGAAGGGATTTTTGGTACCAACATTTATGCCAAATGCAGCCTTGATAGCATAAATTTCAATCACATCCTCAGCATCATAAGCTAATTTTCTGATTTCTGATATCCAATTCTTAATAGTCTCACTTTCATCCTGCTTTCTCTCAGCATCTCTTAGGAAGCATTGCATCCTCTTTAGTTCATTTTTCATTTTTTTGACTTCATCACTGACCCCATTTAAGAATCTGGCCTCTTGAATTAGTAGGTCGCCAAGCCTTTCAACTGCAAAGGAGACAACTGCCTCCACCAACATGATTATTCTGTCTCCTTCAGGAACAAATTCATGAGTTAACCTGCAGAAATTTTTCGTCATATATAATTCTAAGCTACATCTGAAACAGATACTTCAACCATATATAACAGTTCTTCAATTTACAGCTTAAATAGATTGATAGAATTCTGCTTCATACAGGTGATATATGAAATTATGAATTCATACCAATTAATTAAATTGCTGTAAGATTTGGCAGAAAAAATGGTTTTGATTCTAGTACATAAATTTTTGGCAATCAAAGAAACATTTTTCTACTTGTTCCCCTCATTTTACATTTCAAATTGCAAAACGGGGATAGGAACAAAAACTGGGCACATTAAAATATTTAAACTTCAAGTAGAATAAGCAGACAAAAATTGGAAAGGAAAGGCTTTTGGTTGAAAACCGGTCAGAAGAAGAAAGGGGAGAGGATCTTGAAACTAATTTAACTTTATGTATAATCAAAGTATCAAACCATAAGCTTATATCTATAATATATTTCTCCGATCCATTTTCCAGAGACCATAAAATTCAATTATGGTGTATTTTTGTGCTCGCGTTACTTCAATTGCAAAGTAATGCCTACCTATACTGACAAGAGCAGAGCAGCGTTGACTTTGGAAAAAATAATGTATGATTATTAAATTCTGGAAGAATATGATAATAAGAACATTGAAATTAGATATAGAAGATGTTCTGCGAGCATGACCAGATCCAAAGATGACCCATAACATGGAAGACATAAAGAGATTAACACAACTATAAATTATACAAGAAGGAGATACAACCTTCAATTCAGTACAGAATATGGAGTTCTCAACCTCGGCCTCTTGTTCCTTCGTCTACTTGGTTCCGCACACTTACCACCTACCATCATTGAAAATATTTTATCATATTAAAGTATATTATTTTTTTACAATTTATTTTTTCTAAAACTAGACACGTACAGTTTTCCCACAAAGAAATAGAAAAAGACAAGATATTCAAAATTTCAAATAAAGGTTTTACTACGATTCATATAAAAGTAAACGAGTTATATTCATATAAAAGACATCATATTCATGTTGTTTGCCGTTGACACAGTAAAAAATTTCTCCAAAAGCTTTATAAATTGTGTTAAATGAGTTGAAAAAGTGACAAACGTTAAACATGTAAAACAAGTTAATCAAGTAATAAAGGTTGGACTGTTGAGTTTTTTTTTTTTTTTAAATTATAATAATAAAAAACAATCCTTTAACCTTCTTGTTATATGTCTTTATCCGTTTTTATTTAATGGATACCTTTTTTTATTTTTTTAAAATCTTTAAACAGTTCAACTTATTAAGTCTCAACCCACTTTAAAAGTGAAATTGGTTCATATTTTTAATCCATTTTAAAACTGGGCCCGGTTGACGGACTTATCATAAGTAAAATGACCATCAACATTTTCCTTATAAAAAGGTGTAATTTTAGGACACCTGTTTTCAAAGGTTTTGATCCGGTCAGTCACATAGGACGTGCAAAATTGAAATTATAAAGAAAACATCTGAGCACAACTCTTTGATCCACCTAGAGATATGGAAGCAACAGCCAACAGGTACCCTGCGCTGAACAGAACTTAGAAGCTTTTGATTTAACCTTGCCTTCATCTCCAGGTTCCCCAACCCATCAAATCTTATGTTATATTCAACATCTCTCATTTCTCTATTTCTAAAATATGACAACTCCCATTGAACTTTGCTTGAGTATGTATATTCCTATTTGTTTTTATGTTAGTTTGCTACAATCACTTGCAAATTGCACTATTAGAAAACTAGGCCTAAATTCCTGAACATGCAATCTTTAGTAACAGGCAATAACCAAGTTCAAACAAAGCAATAGGTGGATATTTATTGTTACAAAACATGTAAAGAGTATACAGGGGCTACTATACTTTATGCACTAAAGTTCATTTTTGTTGATCCAATTTTAAGCTTTGTTCTAACAAAACACAAAATAAGAAAGAAATTTAACTCAGTTACTTCATCAACACTCACCGAACAAGGGAAAATAAGAAACAACATAATATACTGGATGCTTTCCTATCTTATTTAGCACACAGAGATGAGTTAACCTGCAGACAATTTTGTGTCAGCTATGCATTACATCTAAGATGAAGACTTTACTTGTATATATGTAATTTGGTTTTTATTTTTGTCATTAAATAAATGGATGGCATTTTGGCATACCACTTTTACTGATATAGGGGACATGACTCTCTATCTATCAAATATAACATCACTTTTAGCTGAACAAAGGATTTTGATTGTAATACACAAAATACAAGGTTTAAGAAAAAAACACTTCCCTTATCTTTCGCTTATTTTCCATTTCGAAATGAAACATAGGGATATATGAAATCAAAACTTGGCAAATTAAAAAGTTATGGTACAAGAAGAAAGTGGCAGAAGAACTTGAGTGCAGTGTATCTTTGAACAATAAACCATACAATTACACCTATTCCTTCAAATCATGTTCCTGCATAAAATGCAGTAATGAAGCAAGAACTTATGAATGTTACTCTATAACTTACTCTTAATTGGTAGATTCATAAATACAATCCTCATATATTAAAGTCCAAATTAGATACCTATAAATCATACCCAAAAAGAGTTAAATTCTAATGCTTTTAGTTTTGGTTATGAAAGAAGAGTATTGATGTTCGTGTTCCAAGATGCATTTAAGTTCAGATAAGGTTATCTATGAAGAATAAAAGGTGAATCTTGTTGTGAATGAAAAAAAAACAGGTATCTAAAATTAACATAATGTTTATCAAGTATTTGGGCTTCTGCTGTTTGAAGCATACAAGTTCATCTCAGAGACAGTATCCAACAGTGATAGAAGAGCTACGCCATAAATTTTCTCTGGTCAAGCTTAGAAAATCAACCAACAACTTTGATGAAAACCGAATACTTGGAAGTGGAAGCATTGGTACTGTATATAAAGGTTCTCTCCAACTCGATGGTGCTACTGACGATAGAGTTGCAATCAAACAAATTGATGTGAGCAACAACCAAAATCTTAAAGAGTTCAAGAACGAAATTGAGATGCTATGCCAACTTCGTCATCCTAATTTGGTCAGTCTATTAGGATTTTGTGACCACAAAGACGAGAAGTATGTCGTATATGAGTACATGGCCAATGGATCTCTCCATGATCACCTATATTGTGGTGATGTGAAAAGGGAACCACTAACATGGAAGCAGAGGCTAAAGATCTGCATAGGAGCAGCACATGGACTACACTACCTTCACACAGGTGCCAAGCGCCCCATCTTTCATCGTGACATAAATCCCACTAAAATTCTTTTGGATAGCAACATGGTTCCCAAACTAGCAGACTTTCGGCTTTCTTTAAAAGGACCGCATTCTACATCAAAGCCAAAACCAAAGTCAATAGTGAAAGATGGCTTTCTAGGTATTTATTTTTGGTTTGTTGCTAGTTTACTGAAAATAATTTTATTGTGTTTGACAACACATTCGAAATTCTGTAAACGTGGATTAAATGCAAAAGTTACAATTAGTAGTATTGAAATAAATGTGGATTCACATTTGATTGCAACATCAAATACACTGTGAGTTATTCACTAATACATTCACATGTAGGTACACATGGTTATGTGGCCCCTGAGATTTCACAAAACAATACACTAACAGATAAATGTGATGTTTACTCCTTTGGTGTTGTTCTACTAGAAGTGGTATGCACAGACAAGCTAAAATTTGTTGAGAAGAGGCAAAGGCACCCTGTTGAGGTGAATATTGATCCGAATCTCAAAGGAAATATTGCACCAGAGTGTTGGGAAGTATTTGTGGACATCACAGAAAGATGCTTGAACTATGATCCAAATGAGCGACCAACAATGGGTGAAGTGGAGGTGCAACTTGAGCTTGCACTGTCCCTGCAGGAAGAAGCAGATATCAGAAATACTTGTGATGATTATACCTTATTATCTATGACCATTATTAATTAATCTTTGGCCATGAGAGGCACCAACTTTAGCTGAAAACAGAATCGATGGATGATGGAACTACCAAGGTTGTCTCAAAGATAACAGCGCAACTGGTTATTGAATTGCAATACAGCAGATGAGAGGGCAGAAGAGCTTTTTAGTTCAAGAACGAAACTGTTTTTTTTGCTAGCTTCTTTTCCCAATGTAAATTTTGTCTATCTAGTAGGACTTTTGTAAAGGAGATCCAATTACTAGGTGTTAGATTACCATGAACTATGAATAGCCTTCAAATACTTTAGTCTCATCACAAATAAATAGATATACCAAAAATAAAAGTCACTTAAATTTGACTAATTGCCCGCAAGGTTAATTATTACTTATCATTCAAGAATGCTATCAGCAAATTTTTTAATTTGAACAATAAAATATTTACATTTTAGAAATGAACGGCATAAAAATGTTAAAAATTTTAAATGTGTGAATATATTTTTCTAAATATTAAACAAAGATTTAAATTTTGTTTACGCCTATTTTGTCGTTTTTGAAAAGGAACGGAAGCTACTGAGAAGACATGAGAAACAGGAAACGCGTAAATGGAAGACGCAGCGGCGAAATGTCAATTACAAATGTGAAAGTAGAGAAAAATCTGGATCTGACTTTTTCGTTTTCTATCGAACACCCGCTTTACTAATTATTGCATAACATAGTGTAAGCTTAGCAATGAAGATTCATTGAAGAAAAGTAGAGCATAATGTTTTGACAACTAAGCAAGCAGGTGTCACAAACTGGGAACGATGTTCCTCCCTTGTTTGGACTTTCGCCGTTCCAAGCACACGAATTCATCTGAGAGACAGTATACGACGGGAATAGAAGAGCTGTGCCGTCATTTTTCTCTGGAGGATCTTAGGAAATCAACCAACAATTTTGATGAAAACAGATTACTTGGACGATTTAGTAGCGTATACATAGGTTGTCTCCAACATAATGATGTTTTGGATTACAGAGTCGCAATAAAGCGAAGATGCCACGAGTTCAAGAATGAAATTGAGTTGCTCTGCCAGCTTCGTCACCCTAATTTGGTGTCTCTTATTGGATTTTGCGACGAGCAATATGAAAAGATTATTGTGTACGAGTACATGTCCAATGGATCTCTAGATAAACACCTACACGAAGGGAATAGGGAACCACTGTCGTGGAAGAAAAGACTTGAGATTTGCATAGGAGCGGCGCGTGGAGTACACTACCTTCACACAGGTGCCAAGCGCACCATCTTCCACCGTGACATCAAACCTAGCAACATTCTCTTGGATCACAACATGGAGCCAAAACTCGCAGATTTAGGCCTTTCGTTACAGGGACCACATTTTATGTCCAAGCCTAAACCAATTCAAGTTGACGCCATTATTGGTAAATTTATCATTTTTATGAAGTGAATGAAACAAAATTTATCAATTAAAGTAATGCTAATACATTGTAAATTTATAGGTACATACCGCTATATGGCCTTTGAGTATGCCTTGTACGGTACCATCACAGAAAAATGTGATGTTTACTCATTCGGTATGGTTCTACTAGACGTTGTACGTGGAAGTGAAAATATAATGCAAAACAAGATTTTGGGAACGGACCAAGCCTGTTGAGGAGAATATTGATCCTAATATTGAAGGGAAAATAGCACCAGAGTGTTGGGAAGTTTTTATAGATATCACCCAAAGATGCATGCAGTTCGAACCAGATGAGCGACCAACAATGGGTGAAGTAGAGGTGAAACTTGAACTTGCTCTATCATTGCAGGAACAAGCAGATATCAGAAACACCAATGGCGATTATACTTTATTTTCCACCACCATTATTAACCTGGGAGTGGAATTGGAATCCGACACCGTTGATAACATATACAGTGACACAGAAGACAGTGATTCTGAAGACACATCCTAAGTGGGTGAGCTGAAATTGAAGTTAGTGTTTTGAGTCAAAACAGTCGCTAAACTACTTGCGGTAATAAGTTTAATTGAGATAATTATAGCTTTTGTGGTGTGATTCCTGCTTAGCATTTTGATTTAGTCAGAAGGTGTCATTGTAATAATCTTGTACTAGTATAAATTTGAAATGAATGTTGGAAGTTGTATGAGAACAAACCATTAACTATATAACTCTTTATAATGGATGGATTAATCAGCTATTCCTGATACCGTATCCTTGAGCCAATTATTTTCTTTCCTTTTAGTAAAGAAGGTGCATATGTCATTTTTATTTTTCTTAAAAGGCAGTATCACTACACCATTTATTTATTCTTTTCATATTAGTTTAGTAGATCTTTTTAATATTACAGTCCTCAAAGGGCCTCAGAAAGGCCTAACTCCAGAAGCTGCTTAATGTTTGGTTAAATTTTTGTTGAAATTGAAACAATTAATGGCGGAACAAGTTTTTCAAAGGTTGGACGGAGAAACGCGTAAACGAGAGAGAACGGCATGACAAATTTTCAGAGGATCAAGTCAAAATGGACTAAATGTATGATTTTTCTCCCTCGCGTGTAAGATACGCAAGCACAGGTAGGGGTGGGCATAATTTAGTTTACATAAAAAATGGAACCTGAACAAAATAAAAAATGTAATTTAGTTTTTTGAACGCAGTTGCATTAAAAGTTTATGAATCGGTTTAATTTTGAAAAAAATGGTTCAAAACCAGTTTAAAATTGATTTGACACTCCAGCACCAGTTTGATAGTTCACTATTTTAACATTTGGTTAACAAGTAACTAAAACTAAATTAAGACTCAAATATTAAAATAAAATATAGTTTGCATAACAGTATGATTCACAATAAACTTGACAGCATTTAGGATGCACATTCTGTTAATAGAATGTAAGGTATAAACAAAGGACAGGTATAATTCAATTCACAAAAAAATCCAACTTGATCCGAAACAAATTAGAAATATAATTTAATTTTTGAACTTAACTGTTTTGAAAGTTTAAGATAAGGCATAAATATGAACGGTGTAAAAATATGTAAGTTTTAAACGTATGTTTTTTTAATATTAAATTGTAATTTTAAACAAAGATTTTATTTTTTTACGCCAATCTTTTCTGTTTTCAAAAATTGACGGGAAGGTATTGAGAAGACTTGAGAAACAAGAACGCGTAAATGAGAAGACGTGGCAGCAAAATGTCAATTACGGATGTGAAAGTAAAGAAAAAATATCGATCTGTCTTCTTCGTATATATTGTTACTTATATATAAATAATCGTCACTTATATATTATTATCATTTTAGTTTCCATAATCCATACGGTAGCTACAGATGAAAGACTTCAAAAACGGGAAACACGTAAATGACAGAGACTGGGTTGCAATATGTCAAATACAAATACAAATACAAATACAAATCAGAAGAAAAAAAAAATCTTGAGCTCAATGTTTTTATTTTTTGTACGACTAACCCTTAACTTATTAATAGATAAGGTTGGTTGTTAGGATTGAAGTGAGATAGACAAGAACCAAGTGTCTCATGTTAGAACAATGTTCTTCAAATGTTTGAACTTATGTTGTTCAAAGCATATAAGGTCATCAAGAAAACACTATCCAACAGTTATAGAAGAGTTATGCCATTGCCGTCAATTTTCTCTATCCGATCTTAGGAAATCAACAAACAACTTTGAGGAAAATAAAATAGTTGGACTGGGGTCTCTTGTACAATATATGAAGGTTGCATCCAATATGAGGGAGTCACTTACAGAGTTGCAATCAAGCGAATGAAATTCGAAGAGTTCAAGAAGGAAATTGAGTTGCTTTGCCAGCTTTGTCATCCTAATTTGGTGTCTCTTGTAGGATTCTGCGACCACCAAGTTGAGAAGATTCTTGTGTACGAGTACGTGTCCAATGGGTCTCTCCATGATCATCTATGCAATTGGGAAATGAAAGTACTTTCATGGAAGAAAAGGCTAGAAATTTGCATAGGAGTGTCGCGTGGGCTACACTACCTTCACACGGGAGCCAAACGTACCATCATTCACCGTGATCTCAAACCTAGTAACATTCTTTTGGATGACAACATGGTACCAAAACTCGCGGATTTCAGCCTTTCATTGCAAGGACCACATTTTATGTCGAAGCCAAAGCCAATTCAAGTAGACAGGATCATGGGTAAAATTATATTCTATGAGATGAATGCAAAGAATTTTATCAATTAAAGTAATGCTAATACATTGTGAACTTACAGGTACATATCGCTACATGGCCTTTGAGTATGCCTTGTACGGTACCATCTCAGAAAAATGTGATGTTTACTCATTTGGCATGGTTCTATTAGACGTTGTATGTGGAAATGAAAATATAACACAAACAAGATTTTGGGAACGGACCAAGCCTGTTGAGGAGAATATTGATCCTAATATTAAAGGAAATATAGCTCCAGAGTGTTGGCAAGTGTTTATAGATATCACCCAGAGATGCTTGAAGTTTGAACCAGACGAGCGACCAACGATGGGTGAAGTAGAGGTGCAGCTTGAGTATGCTCTGTCATTGCAGGAACAAGCAGATATCAGAAACACCAATGATGATTATACCTTATTTTCCACCACCATTATTAACCTGGGAGTGGAGAGTGGAAGCAATGGAAGCCCATGATAGGTCATAGGCGTTTTGGTCGGTTGAAACTAATGGTGTTAAGTTTTTCGATTCACAGGTAAAAATAGTCACACATTTTATTACTCCTATCTCATGTTAAATGCATTTTTATTTCAAATTATTTATTTTCTTGTATCTCCTATATATACCAACAGGGGTATTAAGCAATTTTGATTAATTTCTATAATTTCACGGAAGACAAGTATATTTTTATAATTTTAAAGTGTCATTAAAGTACATAAAAAAGTCTACCATTATATTTGGTTAAAAAATTCAGCTGAAAATATTTAACGGGTGAAGAGTATCAAAGCTCTAGTGCGAGGTGACATTTTCCAAATTTGAAAATTATAGAGTGAAAATTTCGTGGTTAAATTAGTCAGAGAAAATAATTCTGAAAAAACATAGTCACTAACAATGACATGCATTTTAAAGTCAATATTTCTTTCTGGGTCAACAAGTCAATTTTTTGTTTAAGAAAATGTAACTTAGATTCACAAAAATAATGTTTAAAACTGAATTTTATGAGTTTTTACGGACTTAAGTCATGCTGATGTTAAACGGATCAAATTAAGAAAACCTAAATTAAATTTAAACTGAAATTTTAGAGTTTTAAGCCTTGCATTTTTATCATGTAAGAAATTTTGACAGATCAAAATTTTTGTCCCTTCCCCTGTTTTCTCAATTTGAATATGACACTTGATTAAAATTAAGGCGAATCTTTGATCATTAGTTTTTCCTTTCTTTCTTAAAATGCTATTTCTTTCTTAAGCTGTCTGTTTTTTCGCTTTGGTCGAACTATAACCTTCCTCACTGATTCCTATTGAAGAGAAGTAGCTAGAGCCCCACCGTTTTCGGTGATTGACAACTAAGCAAGCGTCACAAATTGTAACAATGGTTCTCAAATGCTTGGGCTTTTACCGTTCCAAGCACGCGAACTCATCTAATAGACAGTATCCGACAGTGATAGAAGAGTTGTGCCATCAATTTTCTCTGGCGGATCTTAGGAAATCAACCAACAACTTCGATGGTAACAGATTAATTGGACACGGAGCATTTGGTAAAGTATATAAAGGTTGTCTCCAACACAATGAAGCTTCTGATTACACAGTCGCATTAAAGCGATTGTATATTAATTGCGGACAAGGATGCAGAGTGTTCAAGAATGAAATTGAGTTGCTCTGTCAGCTTCTTCACCCTAATTTGGTGTCTCTTATAGGATTCTGCGACCACGAAGATGAGAAGATCATTGTGTACGAGTACATGTCCAATGGATCTCTGGATGAACACCTATGTGATGGGAATAGGGAACCACTGTCATGGAAGAAAAGGCTTGAGATCTGCATAGGAGCCGCGCGTGGAGTACACTACCTTCACACAGGTGCCAAGCGCACCATCTTCCACCGTGACATCAAACCTAGCAACATTCTTTTGGATGATGAAATGAAGCCTAGACTCTCAGCTTTCGGCGTTTCCATACAAGGACCACATTTTATGTCCAAGCCTAAACCAATTCAAGTAGATAGCATTGCTGGTAAATTTATAAGCTATGAGTTAAATGCTAATCATTTTATCGATTTAATTAAGTTAATACGTTGTCCACTTATAGGTGCAAATCGCTACATGGCCTTTGAGTATGCCTTGAACGGTACTATCACAGAAAAATGTGATGTTTACTCATTTGGTATGGTCCTACTAGACGTTGTACATGGAAGTGAAAATATAAGATTTTGGGAACGGACCCAGCCTGTTGAGGAGAATATTGATGCTACTATTGAAGGGGAAATAGCACCAGAGTGTTGGGAAGTTTTTATAGATATCACCCAAAGATGCTTGCAGTTCGAACCAGATGAGCGACCAACAATGGGTGAAGTAGAGGTGCAACTTGAACTTGCTCTATCATTGCAGGAACAAGCAGATATCAGAAACACCAATGGCGATTATACTTTATTTTCCACCACCATTATTAACCTGGGAGTGGAATTGGAATCCGACACCGTTGATAACATATACAGTGACACAGAAGACAGTGATTCTGAAGACACATCCTAAGTGGGTGAGCTGAAATTGAAGTTAGTGTTTTGAGTCAAAACAGTCGCTAAACTACTTGCGGTAATAAGTTTAATTGAGATAATTATAGCTTTTGTGGTGTGATTCCTGCTTAGCATTTTGATTTAGTCAGAAGGTGTCATTGTAATAATCTTGTACTAGTATAAATTTGAAATGAATGTTGGAAGTTGTATGAGAACAAACCATTAACTATATAACTCTTTATAATGGATGGATTAATCAGCTATTCCTGATACCGTATCCTTGAGCCAATTATTTTCTTTCCTTTTAGTAAAGAAGGTGCATATGTCATTTTTATTTTTCTTAAAAGGCAGTATCACTACACCATTTCGATCGAGAATTTATTCCTTTCATATTAGTTTAGTAGATTTTTTTAATATTACAGTCCTCAAAAGGCCTCAGAAAGGCCTAACTCCGGAAGCTTCTTAATGTTTGGTTAATTTTTTGTTGAAATTGAAACAATTAATGGGCGGAAGAAGTTTTTCAAAGGTTGGACAGGAAACGCGTAAACGCAAGAGATTGGCATGACAAATTTTCAGAGGGTCAAGTCAAAATGGATTAAATGTAATATTTTTCTCCCTCGCGCCTAAGATACGCAAGCACAGGTAGGGGTGGGCATAATTTAGTTTACATAAAAAATGGAACCTTAATAAAACAAAAAATGTAATTTAGTTTTTTGAACGCAGTTGTATTAAAAATTTATGAATCGGTTTAATTTTTTTAAAAAATGGTTCAAAACCAATTTAAAATTGATTTGACACTCCAGCACCAGATTGATAGTTCACTATTTTGACATTCAGTTCACAAGTTGTTTTGTCTGAAAGATGAACAAACATGATAAACAATTAGGCACTTGGGTCTGTTAAAATAGCCTGTAGAACCCACAATTCCAAACCGCAAGAGGTTTTAGGATAGCAACATGGTTCCCAAACTAGCAATACTGAAGGATGGTTTTCTATGTATTTATTTTTGTTTTGTTGCTAGCTTACTGAAAATAATTTTATTGTGTGTGAAATAAATGTGCATTAACATTTGAATGCAACATCAAATGCACCCTGTGTTGCAGTGAACATACAATTAAAATTATTGGTTACTGGTAAATTTATAAGCTATGAGCTAAATGCTAATCATTTTATCGATTAAATTAAGCTAATAAGTTGTCCACTTATAGGTACATATCGCTACATGGCCTTTGAGTATACCTGGCACAGTATCATCTCAGAAAAATGTGATGTTTACTCATTTGGTATGGTTCTAGTAGACGTTGTATGTGGCTGTGAAAATCTAATGCCAACAGAATTTTGGGAACTGGCCGAGCCTATTGAGGAGAATATTGATCCTAATATCAAAGGAAATATAGCACCAGAGTGTTGGCGAGTGTTTTTTTATATCACCCATAGATGCTTGAAGTTTGAACCAGATGAGCGACAAACGATGGGCGAAGTAGAGGTGCAACTTGAGCATGCTCTGTCGTTGCAGGAACAAGCAGATATTAGAAACACCGATGGTGATTATACCTAATTTTCCACCACCATATTTGGCCAGAGAGTGGAACTGGAATCCAACACCATATACAGCGACGCAGAAGACAGTGATTAGGTCAGCAGAGGTTGGTGTTTTGAGTCAAAACAGACACCGTAAACTACTGGAAAAAGGTTTGTTAACACGCCAACTAATTAAGTTAATTCGTTAGTTAGCAAAGGGTTGGAATGTGATGTAATGTACATGCATGTATATCCTTATAAGTAGTGAGGGTTAGTGCACCAATATAAGATCATGAAACACACTTTTTCAATGTATGAATAAAATTACTCTTATTCTGCATAGCTTTTCTCCTTCGTTCTTTGTATTCTGAAACTCATGGCTGCTGTGATTGTTTGAATTTGCGGTAATAAGTTTAATTTAGGCACTTCTACCTTTTGTTTTGATCCTGCTTTTAGCGTTTTGATTTTATCAGAATCTGTCACTGTAATAATCTTGTATTAGTGTAAATTTGAAAGGAATTTAGGAAATTGTATGTGAACAAACCATTAATTATAGAACACCTTACTTTAGTACATAATATTTGCTCTTCCTCTTCCGTTAATTCTGACCCCCTCGCTTCACAACTAGACAATCGTTTAGAAGAGCTATGTTAGAAGAGCTATGTTATCAATTTTCTCCGGTCACTCTTAGAAAAACAAATACCAGCTTCAATAAAAACAGAATAATAGGAAGAGGAAGCTTTGACACAGTGTTCAATGGCAATGAAATGGATCTCCAAATAGGTACTTACATGAGGATATGGAAGCACTGTCATGGAAGAAAAGGCTAGAGATCCGCATAGAACACTTACCTTCACACTGGGGCAAAGCGCACCATCTGTCACTGTGATCTCAAACCCAGTAACATTCTTTTCGACAGCTATATGATGCCAAAACTCTTAATTTGGCTTTTCTTTACTTGGACCGGGTGTTATGTCAAAGCCAAGACCAATTCAAGTAAGGAATTTCATCAAGTAAGGAATATAGTTATACTTTCTCATTTATAGGTACATTTGCCTACATGGTTCCTGAGTGTGGCAAACATTGCACCGTCACAGATAAATGTGACGTGATGTTATTTTTATTTTATTTTTTATCTTTTCTATATGCTGAGATCTCAAAAGTACATTTCAAATATGAAAAGAATATTTAAAGATGTTTCCTCCCAATAATACAAAAACTATTTCATACCTAAAATCTTTAATTGCAACTTTAGAAAATATTATTTATTTTTATATCTGGTTTTCATTTTCACAATTAAGGAAACCTGTTTGTTTTTATATCTTGTTTTCTGTTTTCAAAAAATAAAAATATGTTTGCTTTATTTATTTTCAATAAATAAGAAGATCGCATTTTTTTAACACTAGTTGCAATTGGTTTACCATTAAAACTCATGCTAGCAGGAAGATATCAAACCCAGTCAACGGTTGACCGCGCGTGTAACCCAACAACTCAAAGTTCCATCTTCTAAAAAGAACACATCACAGATGCAAAATCCAAAAATGGCACCAACGATTCTGCCTACACTATTTAGTCATAAGTCACAGTTACTAACTAACGTCAAATCCACCATCCTCTCGTCCTCTTGTGATAACCAAGTTTTAAATTTAATTAAGTAACTGAGAGATCTGTGATATCAAAGGATTCAAAGTTTAAACATGCATGATATAATGTCAGTATCCGTAAACAAAATTGCTCTGAAGTCTCAGAACACAGTGCAGTTTTCACAAGAAGAGGACGACTAAAGAAGTGTGCAAATAAAATTTTACAAGTTATGACTTATCAGAAGAAAGAAAAAAAAAAGTTTACTAAAAATTTAACAAGTCGCCAACAAAGTCCCTCGTAACACTAAAGTCTTTAGAACATTCGATTTATAGTCGTGTATAGAAAAGATTAATTTATTAATTAAATAGAACTCATTTTAATAATCTCTGAACCTCGATTTTTAGTAATTTCTAGTCAATTGATAAGAATATTTTGATGGGAAAAGAAATACAAGTCAAGGAGTTTTCTCTGAGCGCAGGATTAGGAAATTTCTGTAATTTCAAAGTGTTGAGAAAACAGACAATAATAAGAATAAAATTGTGTCTAAACATCTAGCTGAAAATTCTTTTAGAGGGGATCAAAACCCCGAAATGGAGAGTGAAACTATTAGTTAAAACTATAAAAATTTAATTGATCCTGAATAATATAACATCTCAAAATAATTCTAATAATATATATAATTAAATAAACACGTTAAATATATCTGATTAGACGAGAACGCACGATCTATAATAACAATATATATAATTGAATGCGTTAAATATATCTGATGAGATAAGAACACATAATTTATAAGCAGTACTTCTTCTTAAATGAGTTTTTACTACTCTCTTTTTTTTTTATTAATTATTATCACATACAAGTAAATGTCTAATAAAACAAAAATTATAGTTTAATAGAACAAAAACTTCTCACCCAACACGTAAAATAGTCTAATCTATCACGAATTATTCTCGCTAAAAGTTTAATCACAAAATTTATAATATTAATAACTATACATATTTATTTTATTTCATAATTAATAACAATATAGTTATAATAGTTTAATAATACTAATTTACAGATTAATATAAATATTAATATTAATTTAAAAAAATCTAACAGACAGTAGTTGATCAAAGGTTTGGAAACAGGAAAACGCGTAAACGAGAAAGAAAACGCAATGCCAAATGTCAAGTTTTGACTTGTTAGACACTCCGTAGTTAAGCCAATGGTATTTAGAATGGCCACTGCTTTGGAGGACTGCATAGATTTTTTGATTGACTTGCGCAAAATTATAAAACCACAACCAAAATCCTCAAGTCTTCAATTCCAATTGAAATCCCCATAATTCATAGAAAAGAAAAAGCAATGGTTTCAAAGGATGAGTGTTATTCTCGTTCATAATGGGTTTCTCATGGTCTTAGCCATGAAAATTGCAGACAATTACAGCTGAATCTTCATCAGAATGGATAACTAACGGGAGAAATGTTTCTCAAGTACCTGGGCAAGCGTACAAATCCACTCAGGAAACGCTCCCAAACAGTCATAGAAGAACTATGCCATAGATTTTCGGTGGCCGAGATAAGGAAATCAACAAACAACTTTGATGAAAAGCGAAAAATTGGAAGAGAAGACTTTAATGACATATACAAAGGTTGTCTCAAACTTAATGGAGCAAATGACATTTTTGTCAGAATCAAACGGTTGAGAAAGATGTTCGACCAAGGGGTGCTTGAGTTCAAGAAGGAAGTTGAGTTACTTTGCCAGCTTCGTCACCCGAATGTGGTTACTCTTATAGGATTTTGTGACCACAAAGACGAGAAAATTATTGTATACGAGTACGTGGCCAATGGTTCTCTTTATGATCACCTATATTGCAGTAACATGAAAATGGAACCACTCACATGGAAGCAAAGGCTTAAGATCTGCGTAGGAGTAGCACGTGGACTACACTACCTTCACACAGGTGCTAAGCGAACCATTTTTCACCGTGACATAAAACCCAGTAACATTCTTTTGAATAATAATATGGTGCCCAAACTCTCAAATTTTGAGCTTTCCTTACAGGGATCACATTGTACGTCAAAGCCAAAACCTACTGAAGTAGAAGTAGTTGCGGGTAAATTAATATATGTGTGTGTGTGCGTGTGTGTTTCCTACAAAGAATTTTATCAATTAACTTGACTGATAATGCTACAATACTTTATCTTATAGGTACCATTGGTTACATAGCTCCTGAGAATTTCCAAAACAAAAGCTTCTCAGATAAAAGTGATGTTTATTCCTTTGGTAAACTTCTACTAGAGATGGTATGCACGGAAAAGCGAAAGATTGTGGAGAGGCTGAGGCACCCTGTTGAGAGAAATATTGATCCGAATCTCAAAGGAAAGATTGTACCAGAGTGTTGGGAAGTATATATGGAAATGACACAAAGATGCTTGGAGTATGATCCAAATGAGCGACCAACAATGGGTGAAGTAGAGGTACAACTTGAGCATGCTCTATCAATGCAGGCAGAAGCTGATGACAAAAAGGCTAGTGGGGACTACTATTCCCTGTTATCCTTCACCATTATTAATCCTAGGAAATAGGAGACACCTACATTAGCTGAGAACAAAATTGGCTGATGATGGAATTCTTTTTTCATTGTTTCTAAATAAATCATCAAAATAGTCACCCTATGGATAGTAATGGATGGTGTGATTGATTTGATTAAGATACTGGATCATTGCTTATTGATTCAACTAGTGAATCGTTATTTAAATCGATTAAATAGAATATATAAAATAATATGCGCATATATATATATATATATATATTTAAAGTAGTTCCCTTATGCAAAAATTTTTTGTGAAAATAATATAACTCTTTGTTTTACGTGCACTGCTCCTTCTTTTCTTATTTTTCTCTCCTTGTTTAAAATATTTTACAACTGACATTTCTCTAATAATAGGTATTGAAGCTTAATTTGATGCGTGAAAATATTGTCACAACGATGTGTTGTATGTATTGGCTTCTTTATTTTGTGTTGTGGAAACTAGAGAGTACGTAAAAATCAAGATATTTACTACTTTTTCCTTTTGTACTTTTAATTAACATATTTTTATTGATTATTGCAGACATGTCACTGCTTTTGTTATAATAGTAAACCAGCATGTGTTAGTTCAAGTGAAAGGGTTCGGGTTCTTTAAGTATATGGTATTAGGCTCGATTTCAAAATGCATGCGGATGAAAAAAAATACTATTGAAAGCGATCCTGCTTTATGGTATACTAAGGAGGTTAGAAATTGTTAATAAAAGAAACTATTACGCAGCAAAAGAGCAGGTCAACGGCGTGTTTTGCCAGCACAGGTTTCGTGCAAGCTAGAATGCAATCTCCTCAAAAAGCTAATATTATTTTTGAGAAGAACATTACTTGACATTAAAAAGAAAATTTTCTTTGAACTAAAACTTAGATTTTCTTTCCATCAGCATAACATTTATACGTAACAGTTACTATCATTAGAGCAAAATTAGCAAACGTGACCTTGACATTTATAATAATTAGTACAAAATCATTATAATTTGCATACAGAGCTTAGAATGGAGATTTTTACTCAAAGAATTGCAATTTCTCTTAGCTGCTCTTGCAATATGGTACAAAATTTCTTCATTTGAATCTTTTGAAGTGCTAACCCAACTTCAATTTTACCTTCTTCGTCCCTACAGTCAGAAAAAGAGATTGTTCCTGAAATTTCTACATTAACTACTTCACTCCTCTTGGGCTTTCCCCATCCAAAGTCAGTCTCATACACTTCCAACTTAGGTGAGCCTGCAATTACTGTCACATGCTGCCCCAACTTGTCAAATTCTGTTAAATTTGACATCAATGTTTCAGCCCCTTCAAAAATTTCACATTGCATATATCTAACTTTGCTACCAATAGCAATGGCCGCCTCCAAAATACCATTTCCTGCCACAAGCGTGCTCCTTTTCAACACAACATTGCCACTAACCAAACAATTTCCAAAGTATTCCAACTGAGTTGAAAGTTGTGGACGGTTACGACAATCTGCCACAAAGGTTAAGACGTAGGACTCATCATTATTGGGAAGTATTATGCCATCTTTAATCTCTTCTGATTTCACCTTACAAACCCAAATCAAAGAACATGTTACCACAAATGTTGTTATGTGTAGTGTTGCTGGATCATGGCTTTTGCATCTGACAGAGACCCATCTCTTGAGTTTCTCAATATGGTCATGGCTCAACACAATCATATGACGCACCATGTCACTAGGAACGTCATGTATGAGGCCCTTGGAGTTCAGGTTTTGGAGCGACAAATTCCACAATTCTTCTGAGAAAATGGGCTTAAGGCTTATTGGGTCGTCAATGATATTTCTGTTGTGCAAGGGTAGAGAAAGAGAGCCTTCAAGGAAAGCCAAGTCTCCTTTTGACTTACAAATAGAGGCCCAAAATTTCATGAAGTGATGAAATGCCCTCCCATCTGCCACCACGTGGCTGAAAGTTATGCATATGCTAAAGGCGGAATTGGACATAACAGTCACCTGAATGGCCATGAGAGGGAACAAAAACGTGCCATCTTCTAAGGTACGTGATGAAGGCAACAAAGGAACAAAAGGATGCAAGTCCTTAACATCTCTTGGGGAATCAGACACAAGTTTGGTGAAATCTGCTGTGGACTCTACCACGGTGAAGGAGATACAGTCATCATGGGAGTAGAGGATATGAGGTTTGTTTGGCTTCGGAGGGAACACTAGATTGGCAGAGAAAGGGAAGAAGTGTTGGAGAGTGAGAGAAAGAGAGTGCTTGAGAGTTGGAAGGAAAGTTTGGAAGAAGTATTGGGTGGAATAAGGGAACTCATAGAGAAAAATACGTTTAATTGGGGGGCAACAAAGCCATGGAAGGTCAAGGAAAGTAAGTGGAATAGATGTTGAAGGAACCGAACCTGGTGGAGGACTAATTTGACATTGCTCTATTACCTTCACTGTTTGAGCCATGGAATGGAACATAGGGGTATGAAATATGAATTATGATTCCAGATCAAGATGAGAACTGTTAAAAAGAATTTAGAGAATGGTGTAGTCCCTGTCATTGGACTTTTACAAGGTTTGAAAAATGTTTGGTAGATACGACCAGAGAGATAAGAATAGAAGTGACAAGTGGTGAATGTATAAGCAATACAACAGCATAAAACAAATAAAAGAGACCAGAAATTTAACGACGACTGCCCCAAAGCTTAGACCAATCAGAATGGAGCTTGATATGCTAATGTGTTCTTAACCAATGGGAAAGGCAAAGGTTTTTGCTGGCCTAATGCAATGCATATTTGAAACCTAATAAACCTTTCCTTTTTCTCATCATTTTTTTTTAAAAATAATTAAGATTCTTTAATTTTAAAAAAACACAAAAAATAGTGATGTAATTAAAAACTCAACAGCAGTTATGCTCCTCGTTTAGGCTTGGTCCCTTATTGTAATGTCTTGGGCTTCACTTTGACCTTCGCGACTTTAATGCATATATCTTTTGCCTAAAAAAAACAAACTCAATTTTAATCATTTTGCAAAATCACACCCCCTATATCTTAATCCTTATCCCTTTCCTTGGACAAAAAAAAAAAAATTCATTTTAAAAATGAAAAATGTAAACCAAAAAATGTTTATAATCTTTTCAACATTTTATTGTTATATTTTTTCACATGAAGAGCCTTTAAAACATTTTACAGCGTCATATTCTTATACCTCATTCTTTATGACTATAATTTTTAAAAATTAGCAATAAAAATTCATTTCTTTAACTTAAAAATAAATAAATAAAAATCATATTATCTTGTTTTAAGAAAAAGTACATATATATATTCTACATTTTTATACCTTTTATTTATTCTATTTTGAATTTTTAGACTCTTAAAGAATATTGTTATTATTCGCAAACTCTTCTACGTGCTAAAAAAATTTAAACAATAATACTTTATGATTATTTATGACGCGTTATGTCATAAATCAATATTTCATATATAAAGAGCATTTAGATATGAATTTTAATTTTTTTTAACACTTATTAATAAAAATGAATGCAAAGAATAAAGACATTATCAACAAAATAACGTTACCAACAAAATCGTTTATGAAACATATATTCAATCATGCTATAAATAAAAGCTGTGGGTTCCTTGTGTTTCCCATTGTGTCGGTGATACTGACTGACAATTACAAGAATACCCTCACAGTTTTTTTATTAAATTATTATATTAAAAAGTATTTAAATTTTGTAATAAATAATGTATTAAAAATAAAATATGAATACAAAAAATATAAATTTGTGCATATTTTAATTTATTAATAATATTTTTTATTTTTTATTTTATTAAAATAATAAATATTTAGATATATTCTATTTTTTATCATCTATTTATTACACAGATTAATTATATTAAATTAAATTTTAAAATATTTTATTTTATTTTTTAATTAATTTAAAAATAGTTTTAAAATTTAAATTTATTTTAAATTTAGTTTTTGTTGAAACTAATTTTAAATTTAGTTTTATGTTGAATTAGTTTTAAATTTAACTTTTTAATGCAAAACTAATTTTTAATACATTTGTGAATTTTATTTTTAAGGTAAAACTAATTAATTGTATAAAATGTTATATTAAATTAGTATATTTTTAAAAAAGTTTAACAATATTTACTAATATATTATATTTTATAGAAATATATAAAATATTTATTATTTTTTAACTTATTTTTAATAAAAAAAAGTTTAAATTAAAACCTATAAAAATAAAAATTAATAATATAAATAATAATAAAATTATTATATTATAATATTTTAAAATTTAAAAATAAACATAAATATAAACATAATAGTAATAATTAATTTAAAAATATTTGTTACATTTTAATATCTTTAATTATTTTAAATATTTAATTTTAATTATAAAAATTAAGATTCATAAAAAAATATAAGTGATAAAATGTAGTTATAATAAAATTTTGTAAACTAATATAATGTAAAAATTTAATAAGTAAAGATACAAAGTAGTAGTTTTGTACATATAGATTTAGATAAATAAAAAAAAATCTAATTTAGAATATAAATTTAGATACTAAACTAATTACAAAAATATAGTTAATAAAAAAATTAATTTAATATAAATTTAAATTTTTAAAATTAATTTAATATTAATTATATATTAAACTTATAAAATTAGATTTTTACAACAACCTGGCCGGTGATGGTCAAGCTAATTTGTTCCCTCCCCCAGGATGATTGTTTCAATGTTATACTAATGTCTATCTCAAAAAGATGAGGTCTTCAATACTCAACTTTTGCTAATTATAGAGATAAATGATGGGGCATTCATTTACTTTTACTTGCGCTCTTGTAATTAACTTTGCTGTATAATTCATCTTTTTCATTTATTTCTTCCATTCATTACCCCTGATACATAATTATTGCTTAATTTATTATATAGACCAGAAAACTCGATGAATATGTAAAACAAAAAAAATTGTTGACATTAATTTTTTACATATGAAGTGAGTGGAAAGAAAAGAGATAAAATATATATATATATATATATATATATATATATATATTATATAATTGATGATGTGATATTAAAAAATACAAAATAAATACAGTACTATCTCAGAATTTGTCTTTATATACCTAATACGGCATTATCAAAGTAAAGGATGTGATCATGTGACGCCCTTGTTTCCGTCTCATTTAGAAAGGATCCATGTCGAGATCATTCATTTTCACAAGATAAGCGAAAGAGAAATTTTACATGTACATGCAATTTTCGCTGGAATGATCTATCATGCAAATACCATATATATTCTTTTATTTTTTTTATACCTGCTGCGATGAGCAATTCTAAATGATTATTATATAACCCAATTTTATATATTATGTAAGAAAAGCAAATACATGTGAAGTATCTTCCCCAAACTATGTGGTGTAAGGGAATCGAGTTATTCTTACAATAGAGAAAACGATGGATACATAGATACATAGATAGGTACACAAGAGTAGACGGAGGCAGCAGCAAAGGCAATAGAAATTATTCAGCAATTCCTATTGTAGGGGTCTCTACAATTTCCCCTACCCGGTGGTTTGCGGGGAGAACAGCTACGATAACCGAAGCGGGTTGTACAGTAGGCTTGAATTGGATTCCTTGAACGAAATGCATTACTATCACGGATTGAATAAAGCATTTGGTCGAAGCTGGAGCTGCTCATGGTGGTGAACTCTGAGTCCACGTGTTGGCCGATGAGGCAGCCATGTAAGCAAGCAGAAGTGGTTCCATTGGTCTTCGCTGGATCTGCAATGCTAAGATGTGTGTGTTGCAAAATCAGCACCAAACACATCATTGCAAGGGTTGATGCTGGCTTCTTCATCGTGTCGTTTCAATATTGACACCACAACGCAGATATTGAGAAATATATATGTTCTAACAAAAATGGGATTGTGGGTAGCTATACATATATAAGACCTTTGCTTGATATAAATTTCCATGTCCATTAGTTCTATTGTACTATAGTTGCGTGGGCAGTTGGCACCTGTTTTCTTCATTGTTCTTTAAATGCTTCATACACGTATCCTTCTTGCCCTTCACATGTGAGCAGTGGGTGGGGCTAGAATTGCACTGTTTTGTAGAGCATGATTGGAGCTATTTTTGTATTTTAGGTTGAATTAAAAATATAATTTCCAAAGTTAGACACTATTTTTCATTGTAATTCCTACGTGAAAAGACTTTACATTTTGGTTCTACGTGAAAATGCTTTTATGAATTAGTTTATGTTGATATTATAATAATAGTTTTTAGAGAAAAAAATTTTAAATATAATAGTATACGTATTTTTATTGCTGTTCTTCAATTAAAAGTATAATTTTAGCTCGATAATTTACACTATTTTTTTAATAGAAGAACTGAAAAAATGTTGTAAAGCCTACGGACCAAAATGTTCAAATCTTTTGTAGAGCATGATTGGAGCCGTTTTTTTTAAGGTTGAATTAAAAATATAATTTCTTGACTTGGACATTATTTTTCAATGGAATCCCAATCTGAAAAGACACTTTACCTTTTGCTCCTACATTAGAAAACGTTTATAAATGAATTTATGTTCTAGTTATAATGATCATTAGAGTAATTTTTTTAATTAAGCATAAAATTTAGATAAAACATTATAGATATTTTTGTTGGAAAGCGTTTTATACTGAATATCCAATTGTATTTAATCATAGTTGGTATATTATATTATTATGCTTGTAATTTGTTTGCATTACGATTTATTAATTGGAGATGATATAATTTCTTAATCTAATCTTGACAACTAAAATATTTTAATGGCGATATCCCCGCCATTCATTCTTCCAAATAATACTACATTTTGAGAAACTTCATTTAAAATCATCACATCTCTCGTTCTTTAATTATTTTACACTCCCGCATTAATATTGTCTTATCTATAATACTTTTTTTTTCTTAATTCAATTAATAAGAACAGTATTTTATATAATAAAAAATAAACAAAAGTGGCATAAACATATAGAGCAATAATAAGCATTCCCTGAGACGTTAGATTGACCGACAAATAAACATACAATTGGTAAAATCTTAGTTTGATTGAGACTAGTGATCGAACAGTTTTCTTTCAACTGGATAAGTCATGCATTTTTATTTATTTTTTTGTTAGAAAATAAGAAAATGAAGATAAGTGTTAAACTAATTCGGTATCTTCCCTTATAGAAATATAACTTTGTTTAGGTATCTTCCCTTATTATTAAAAGTTAATATTATAAATAAAATTGTATATATTTTTTATGTATTTTTTTATCTTTCTTATATACATATGTATTCTAAAACATATTTTCACAATATAAAGAAACATTTTAAATGTTATAAAATATTTTCATTGAAAGATCGGTTTTAGTAGCCATTAATTCAACCACCGACGCAGATCGTCCACAATTTGGTTCCCCAGAGTTAAAAATATCAACATGTACACAGAACACCTTTGCTAAACTGAGAAGGCTAAAATAAAGACAAGCAAGTTGTGTGGGAAGCACAAATGGTAAATTCATGTAATTGTAGAGACCATTAATATATTCAAAACCAAATTATTATATGGCTTAGCGGTCTAAACAGGCCAGTTGAATCGTTGATTCAATAATTAAATAGTTTCTGACCTGTCGAATCGGTCAAAATGGTGAACCAAGCAGGCCAAATTTTTGCCAATGCAAATCAAATTATTTTTTCTTAAATATGTTACGAAATGTTGGATGCTATTATGAGTTCTTGGATGTTTTGAGATAGATGTTTCATAACCGAATTACCAGCTACTTCTCGTTAGTATATACTATATTTAAGCATATAAAATAAACGTTCTTTAGAAAATGCTTGTTAGAAGTAGGGATGCAATGGGTAAAATATTCAATGAGCACCTATAAAATTTACTTACAATGGATATAATATTTACTCGCTATATGGATACGAGTATAGGTGTGAGTAAAAATTCGCAAATTTTATTAAGGATGGGTGCAAGTATTGGTATTTAAATACTCACTCCACCCCATATATATATATATATATATATATATATATATATATATAATTTTTGTATTATTATACTATTTATATGAAATTATAAAAATATATTTAATAATAAAATAAATCAAAAAAATTATTTTAGTTTATATTTTTAATAAAAAAATTTATTTACTATTTTATATCGTTTAATTAACTAATACAATTTAACTATTACATAATTGATATAAGATTGATTTTTAAAAAAAATATTATTTATATATGACACACATAAAATATTTTTCACACAAATATTTTTGTTAGTAAAATTATATTGATATTTAAATCATAAAGTAAATAATAAATAATAAATATATTGTAAATATTTTATAAATTTTACAATCACCTACTATTATTGTAAATTTATTATTTATTGATAATATTTTTTTTTCATATTTTAATTTAAAATAATATTTTTCTATGCAACATATGCATTACAAACACAACTATAATTTATTAAATCTAAATAATATTATTCTTACTATTTATTTATGTTCAAAGAAGTTTTCAAAAAAATATAAAAATTTATTGTTAATTCTTATTTGTTAATTTTTTCTTCAGATAAAAAACTATAATTTTTTTATATACACGTATATTTCTTTATTATAAAATTTTATTGTGACCATTTATCTTTTATTCAAATTCTTTCTTTTAAAATTTATATACATTATAAATATTTAATTTATTAAAATAATTTTTTAAAGATTTGTATTTTTGACAAAATATTTTCGTATAGTACATGAGTTAAAAATACTAGTATTAATATATATATATATTAAATATATTATTTTTCTTACAATTTCAAATTCAAAAGTTTAAAATATTTTATGTATTCACTTTTCATTGTTAGTACTTGAATTTCTTTACCTTAACTCTACTCTCATTCTTAATGTCTGTCTCATTAAAATCTAACAATTATAAAATGTTGTTCATTAGAGTTAGATGTCAATGTCACTACAAAAGGTTACCAAGTGATCCATATAAAAGGCCACCAATTATGTTTTAACGTTGTAGATCGATCGAATCTCACACAAGATAGGATCATCATATTTAATTTTATTTATTATTTTTAAGAATTTTAATTTAAAAAATTATTGTATTAAGATACATTTAATACTTGTGATCTTTGAATATTTATTTTTTTATTTATGTTTGTACCTTGTTCGACAACTATATATTGAATTTTTATATTATTATATTACTTATGTGAAGTTATATAAATATATTTTTCTCAAACAATCGCAAGTAATGGGTACAGATATTAATGTTTATACCTACGCATGAGATTGGATACAAGTTTTTTTTTAAATCGCAAATATAAGGATGATTACTATAGGTAATTTGTGAATTCATGAACATAAGTGTGTGTATATATCCACATGTATATTGATCATAAGTCATTTCATTATCCAGTACAGTGGGCACAGAATATTTTTTTCAATAATGCTAATAATTTGTTAATTTTTACTTCGTTAAAATGAACAAAAATATTTTCAAAATAATTTTAGGAGACAATTTTTAGTTATCTTTCTGATTTTTTACATATATATGATAAAATATATATATAATTTAATTATTAGTTGTTGAAGTCACATTATTGTAAAATGAAATATCTTTCAAACTACGATATTGCTATGCTGCTCCTGTGACTTGTCTAAGTTGCAAGTGGCCCATGTCCAACTGCACCACATTAAGGATATTTATGATGAAAGTAAACCCTGAAGTTGATATTTTTGTTAGGACGCGTTACTAGATTAGTTTTCTGAAAGTTTGTATTTTAATTGAATCCTTAATTTAAAAATATAATATAATCAGTATTTTTATTTTTTTTTAATCTTTACTTCCCAATCTTCTGTTGAGTGTTTAAGCTTGGAGCCCAGTTTTCAGAACATGACGCTTAAAATCATCATTTTCATCTTAAACTTTTAATATGCCTTTATCAGAAGACAAGAGAGAGTAATCTTAAAACAATATCTTACCGTGGCTGAAATTTCCAGAGCGATAACTCGTATTTATCTATTTATTTATTTTTCACAATATATACTTACTATAAAACTAGTTTTGTTTTTCTCTATCTCTGTTCAGTTACATAATTTCTCAGTGCTTCTCTTCCTAACCCTCTTGTATTTGTACAAAAAAATTAAGGTAGCATTAATTGGTCGTGCAAAATAAACTTTTCTCTTCTACTGATAGCTGCATTGACTTGTGGCTGCTCATCTAAAAAGAAACGAATATCACAAGGAAAAGCATTAACTTGGCGGTTCTGTGCACAAACTTGAAGTCCTGTTGCTTCAAGATATATATACATATATATGGTGTTTCAGTTCTATTTTTCCACCAGGTGCTGCTTCAATTACTGCATACAAATGGGCCCACGCAGCATGCGAATTGCAACAGAAACCACCGTCTTTCTGTTGTTGTTGTTATTGTGTCTCTCTTACGTTTCCACAGCACAGGATATTTACCACCCCGCTGAGCATTTTACCATCTTGTGTGGCTCCTCCACCAATCTCTATGCAGATGGTGGTCGGAACTGGACTGGGGACAACAACATGAAACTCCTCTCAGAAAACAATGGCTCTGTTTCTGTACCCGCACCCACATCACCCACCATACAGGGCCCATACACCTCAGCTCGTCTCTCTAGGTCCCAATTCACCTACTCGTTCCCTGTCACCCAAGGCCAAAAGTTCCTTCGCCTCTTCTTCTACTCCACTTCATACCAAAACTTCGATCGCCATGCAGCCTCTTTCTCAGTCAAATCAGGCAAATTCACCCTCCTCAAAGATTTCAACGCTTCGCTTCATGCTGATGCTGAAGACAACGACAACGATATCCTGTTCAGAGAGTACTGCATCAACGTCCAAGATGGTGAGAGACTCAACATAACCTTCATTCCAAGCACCAAAGATAATTCCTACGCTTTCATTAATGGAATCGAGATCGTGTCGATGCCTGATTTTCTCTACTATACAAGACCCAACGACGACAGTGGATTCCCGCAACTTGTTGGGCACAACAACCAATACCAAATCGTAAACAACTACGCTCTGGAGAACAAGTACAGGTTAAGAGTTGGAGGACGAGAAATACCACCCTTTAACGACACAGGCATGTTCAGGACTTGGCAACCTGATGACAAATACCTAACTACAAAAGGTGACAAATTTTACAGTGCTGATATTGAACGTACAAGGAATCTCAGCTTCACTAAGGCCACTCCTGAATACGACGCACCGGACGAAGTGTACCGAACCGTACGGAATATGGGACCGAATCCCACTTCTAACATGGAATTCAACCTCACTTGGCAGCTTCCCGTTGATTTGGGCTTCTCTTACTTGCTACGGTTACACTTTTGCCAGCTTGACTGGAATGTTGACAGTCCCGGTGACGTGAAATTCTACATTTTCGTAGCGGATCAACTGGCTACCGATGACGCCGACGTTCTTTTGTGGACCAAAAACAAGGGTGTGCCCGTCGTTAAAGATTACGTTGTTTCCATCCCACCCAATAACAATAATTCAAACCTTTCACTCAAACTGCATCCTCACCCTACAAGCCTCATCAAGGACGCCACTCTAAACGCAATTGAACTCTTCAAAATCAACGATTCAACGGGTAGTCTCGCTGAACCCAACCCGTACGCTCCTCCACAAACCTCTCAGATTCCCTCGCCACTCTCAAACAGGGAAACAAGACCCAACAGAAGAATCCTTGCTGACGCCGTCGCTGCTGCTGTTTCCTGTGTCGTTTTGCTATCATGTATCGTCGCTCTCTTCTTCATCAAACGCCGCAGGAACGTCGTCGGCGACAAGGGTTTCTCCAAGAGAAAACACGGAACTTCTCGCGGCAGTGCCTCGTCTTCCCTACCCACCAACCTCTGCCGCCACTTCTCAATCGCGGAAATCAGAGCCGCCACCAACAACTTCGACGAACTCTTCGTCGTTGGCGTGGGAGGATTCGGCAACGTGTACAAAGGCTACATCGACAACGGTTCAACACGTGTCGCGATCAAAAGGCTGAAACCTGGTTCTCAGCAAGGCGCGCACGAGTTCATGAACGAGATCGAAATGCTCTCTCAACTTCGCCACCTCCATTTAGTTTCCCTGATCGGTTACTGCTATGAAAGTAACGAGATGATCCTGGTTTACGATTTCATGGATCGAGGAACCCTCCGTGACCATCTCTACGACACCGATAACCCTTCCCTGTCGTGGAAGCAAAGGCTTAAGATCTGCATAGGTGCTGCACGTGGGCTGCACTATCTGCATACAGGTGCGAAGCACATGATCATTCACCGTGACGTGAAGAGCACGAATATCCTATTGGACGAAAAATGGGTAGCGAAGGTTTCAGACTTTGGGCTTTCGAGAATTGGGCCCACGGGAACTTCAATGACCCACGTGAGCACTCAGGTAAAAGGCAGCGTGGGATATTTGGATCCAGAGTATTACAAACGACAGCGTTTAACGGAAAAATCTGACGTGTACTCGTTTGGAGTGGTGCTTTTGGAGGTATTGTCTGGGAGACAGCCTTTGCTAAGAACGGTGGAGAAGCATCGAATTTCACTTGTTGATTGGGCGAAGCGTTGCTTTCATTTGGGGACTATGAGAGACATTGTGGATCCAACGCTGAAGGGTGAGATTGGAGGCGAGTGTTTCCGCAAGTTCGGTGAGATTGCTCTCAACTGTTTGCTTGAGGATGGGTCTCAACGCCCTTCCATGAACGACGTCGTTGGGGGGCTCGAGTTTGTTCTTCAGCTTGCCGAATATAATGCTGTTAAGGGAGTGGTGGAGCTTGCCGCCAATGTTTATGAAGATAGTGATGCCACGTTTAGCAGTAGCCAAAGTAGTACACATGTTTCCGATTATAGTAAGAGCACTGGATTTAGCACGACAAGTGATGGAGATGGTAGCATTGGCAGTAAGGAATCCCACAGGTTGATCTCCGGAAATGTTTTCTCCGAGATTATGGAACCAAAGGGACGATGATGAGGTTAGAACAATGTGCCAGTTCCGCCATGCGTTTGCTGTTTAAGATGAATAAGATATTGAATCTCTGTATGTTTTGCATTTTAATTTCAACCTTAGAGAAGAGAAATAGTATTTGTGTGTAATCTTTTTAGATATTCTTTGTCTGTAGTAAGAAGGAGAAAAGTGTGCGACGATAGAAAAAAAATAATGTTATGGAAATACGCATAAAAATTAATATTGTAAAATATGTTGTAAAAAACTTTTAAGAAAATTATATTTATAGCATGACGCTATGGTTATATACATGTGTATTGTATGTTTATTAATGAACGTGTGAAGTAAAATTTTATAAGAATATTAAAAAAAAGAAAGTCTAACTCATCTTTAAAATTTAGTTTATAAGAGATGAATTTTACAGTCTTATAATTAATTAAATAATAGCATTACTAAAATTAGTTTGAGGTCGATGTTATTGGAACTTTTTCTCTCTTTGAAATCTCTTACGCCGTTTCTTGCTAGTGTTTTCCCCAAAATCTTGGCTGTTTTCCGTGAATTTTGCGTGATTGGTGTCAGAATAATGATTTTCATGGAGGTTGATGATCTAAACATGACCTCTGAAATAGATGAAAATGATGTACCAAAGACTAAAAGTATTCCGCTTGAGGACTATGAGCAACGATACTCTCCATGGTTATATACCTTAACAGTGAAACTTCTAGAAAATTCTGTTAGTTTCAGTTTTCTAAACCAAAAATTTAGTACTATTTAGAGTCCAAATGGTGCCTTAGAAATTTTAGATCTAAATAATAATTTTTTTTTAGTAAAATTTAAAAATATTAAGAACTATAAATATGCTTTATTTGAGGAGCTATGGTTAATTTTGGACCATTATCTTCTCGTTCAATATTGGCAGCTTCTGTTCAGGCCTAAAGATCATTCTGTTAGGAAGTTAGCAGTCTGGGTTCATATACCAAATCTTCTCCTTTAACTGTACAATGAAAATTTTTTGTAGCAGGTTGGGTCCTGTCTAGAGTCTATGCTTAAAATTGACCCTAATACCTCCTTATTATCTAGATGTAGGTTTGCTAGAATCTACATTGAATTTGACCTTAGGAGAAAACTAATTCCTTCTTTTACTGTCCTAGGCCAAGAATTCAAAATTGAATATGAGGGTTTACACCTCATTTGTTTTCTCTGTGGTAAGTATGGCCATAGATAAGAGTCTTGTCTTGGCCCTCATAAACTTTCTATAGAGTCTATATCTAGTCCTATGATTTTGGAAGAAAATGGAGCTAAGGAAGTTAAATCTCAGTAGGAACCAAATAGGTCAGATAATAAAGAATCACAGGATAATAAATCTTCTGAGGACCAGAATGATATGAATAAAGAGGTTAATTTAGGCACTAATTCCCAGTTTGATATTCTAGGTAACTCTGAGTTAAACACCTATTAAGAGTCAATAATTGGGTCTCGAGTCTCTCCAGGTTACCCACATAGTAATGATGAGAAAAGTAAAGGGCTCAACGATTATATTAGAAAAAAAAAATCATTAGAAATAATAAAGATGAGGGTACTCCCTTAAGGAAAACGCTTAGAAATAAACCAAAACCTAGAGGTGAGTATGATAATTAGGAAGAAGAAGGAAATAGTCAAAAGGAGATAAGAAATGAGGAAAATTTTGAGTCTTTAATTCAAAAATAGGGAACTCAAAATCAAAAGGAGATCTTTTCTATTATGCAAATGATGAATAAAGAATTAAATGATAATACTTCAGGTAGTAGAAATAATCAAGAGATAAGAAATGAGAAAAAATTTGAGTCTTTAATTCAGAAATAGGGAACTCAAAACCAAAAGGAGATCTTTTCTATTATCCAAATGATGAATAAGGAATTAAAGGATAATACTTCAAGTACTAGATATATCCAGAACCTGTTAGGAATTAGCCTAAACAATTCTTGGAAATTCAAAGATTCCAGTGTTGCGAACCCAACTGATAAACCTCCTGACCAAGTTCCTTCAATAGATATAGATAATTTTGGCCAACATATTAGCACTATTAATTGCTACAATTCTTCTCTTGAGATTTTTTCCAAGCATCCTAAGGATGCTACTAAATCATCCACCCTCTAGCTATTATGAACTGCTTATTTTGGAATTGTAGAGGGTTGGGAGTAGATCTTTCTTTAGGTTAATAAATGATATTATAGTCATTTATAATCTTGATTTCATTGCCCTTTTGAACCTAGGGTAAGTGCTGAAAAAGATAAGAATATTATTAATAAAATTAACTTTGATGCTCATGAGATAATGGATGCTACTGGTTTTTCAGGGACTATTTGGTGCCTTTGGAATAGTAATAGGATCTTCGCTTCTCTTGTGACTAAATCCAAGTTCTTTATTCATCTTAAGATTAAAACTTATGATCATGAAGATTGGATTTTATCCTCTGTTTATATTAGCCCCATGAGCATCTTAAGGCTGACTGCTGGAAAGAACTTTCAGAGTTTAGTTCTTCTGTTAGGTGTCCTTGGATTTTAGCTGAGAATTTTTACTTTATTCTTTATAATTTTGAGAAAGTGGAGGGGGGTAGACCCCATAATCCTAAGACCTTAGCTAATTTTGTTGATTATCTTCTTTAATGTGACCTTTCTGACTTAGGATTTAAAGACAATCCTTTTACTTGGAATAAAGGTAATCTTAGAGAGAGGTTGGACAGAGGGGTATTAAATGATTCTTGGCGTCTATCATTTTTCAATAGCTCTGTTATCCACGTTCCTCTGTTAAAATCTAATCACTATGACCTTTGGGTCAAAATTAGGAAATGTCGTCCCCATCCTAAGAATGATTCCAAGTTTAAATTCTTAGCTCCTTGGTTGTCACACCCTGACTTTCCTAACTAAGTGAAGAATTCTTGGATGTTATCAAATTCTTGGGTTGATAATGTCAAGAATTTTAGGGTTAATATCTCTAAATGGAATAAGTCTATTTTTGGAAATATTTTCTATAAGAAGAAACATATACTTTGTAGAATAGAGGGCATATCCAGAAAATTAGGATCTAGTTCTAATCCTTTTCTTTTTAACTTGATGAGAACTCTTTGACAGGATTACTAAGTCATCCTTGATCAGGAGGAAGCTTTTTGGTCACATCAGTATAGAGCTAATTGGTTATCCTTAGAGGATAGAAATACTAGATTCTTCCATAGAGCTGCCATAAGAAGAAGGAATAAAAATAAGATAGAAGCTCTAAAGGATGATAATCAAAATTGGGTTTGTAATCCTTCAGAGTTAGAAGATATGGTGGTTAACTACTTCATTAACCTTTATTCTGACCCTCATCCTTAGGATTTTCAACTTGATATTATTTCCTCTTTTCCTCCCCTTGCAAATTCTAACCAAGAATTTCTCTCCCTAGATGTTTCCATAGAATAGGTTAAGTCTACCCTATTCAGCATTGGTAATTTTAAATCATCAAGACCTTATGGGCTTCATGCTCTATTTTTTAAGAACTAGTGGCATGTTTTGAGTCATCATATCTATAAATTTGTTCAAGCCATTTTCAGAATCCTAGTAAAATCAGGGATGTTCATAAGACCTGCATTACCATTATTCCTAAAACTGAGAGTCTATCCAAGAATTCAGACCTATTTGTTTGTGCAATGTTAGTTATAAGATTGTTACTAAAATAATAGCCAACATGTTAAGGGAATCTATGCCCCATCTCATTTCTGCCAATCAATGTAGCTTTATTCATAGTAGACAAGGAATTGATAATGCTTTAATCCTCTAGAAAATTATTCATTCTTTCTATAACCTTAAAAGTAGAACTGATTATATGATTGTCAAACTTGACTTAGAAAAAGCTTATGACAAACTTAGGTGGAATTTTATTGTTGATACTTTGGGGAAGATTGGTTTTAATTCTAATCTAATCAATCTTATTAAATCCTGCATTTTCCCCCCTTCTATGGAAATTAATTGAAATAGTAGCACAACTAGGACTTTTAAGCCTTCTAGGGATATTCTTCAAGGGGATCTGATATCTCCTTATCTGTTTGACCTATTCATAGAGAGACTGACTCATCTCATCCAAGATAGTATCTCTAAGAAAGAGTGAGCCCTTTTCTATTTTGGAGGCAATGACTTAGTGATCTCCCATCTCTTTTTTGCTAATGATATCATCCTAATTACCAGGGTTGATCTGTCACAAGCTTCCATCATTCAGAATATTCTCAATAGTTTCTGTCAGACTTCTGGTCTAAAAATAAATACTACTAAATTCTCTCTCTTTTTTTTTTCAAGAATACTCTTGCTGCTACTAAAAAGGAGATAAGTGTTTTTTTAAACATAAAATTCACTAGCAGGCCAATATTTAGGAATTCCTATAAGCAACTACTCGGAGGGCAAATGTACCCATCGAGAAGTAATAAAGGGTTCTTAAATTAAGTTCTCGAAATATCGTCTCACAAGGATTAATTTCTAATTACTAAGAATTTTCTAATTCAATTGTTTACGCTTCAAAGATATGTGATCAATTAAAATAAAAATTTATAAAATCAATTATAAAACTAAGAGTAAGAAATATAATGCACGTCTTGATTAAACTTATTGGAGAGAAACCTAAGACATATGGGTTTTCTCATTCAATCCTTTATGTTATTTTTTTGTTTAACTGTAAATCTGATTTCTTTGTGATTACTAATCATTCATACGAATACTATTAATACCCAATGGTCATGCAATATTAATATTCTTCTCTCTAAATTAACATCTCCAATGGTCATGCAAGACATCAATTTAAGAAAGCTTAAGGAACCTATGAACTTGTTAATTTACTAACGATTAGAAGAGAAAGATTTGTTTGGTCCACCTAATCCTTTATCTCATTTTACCCTATAGATCTATTAATTAACCGAGATACAGTCGCCTGACGATATAATTAATTAAGATTAAGAGAGAAGCGCAATAGGATAAAATTTAATCATGACCAAAAATTAAATTTAGATTCAAACATCAAAATCCTATGAATTCATGAACAATAGTTCCCATAACCCTAGCTATGGACTTTGTTACTTATGTTAAAGAAAAGAATTAAAACAATCATAAACAAAGGCATAATTAAAAGAAATAGCAAACTAGAATGAGATAAGTTTCTAGTCTTCAAGTACGATCGCTCGAACCTCCAAGTCTCTGCAAGAGTGTACCAAAGATCTCGTGCAAGAGAGACGAGATGAGATGTATCCTAGAGCAAAAGTCAAGATAAAAACGGTGTCCACTATGATGCCTGAGATCTTCCTTTTAATA